CTGGAAAGCCCACATTTTTCTGAACATTTTGATATCAAATACTCATTTTGACAAAATATGGAGTTTTGTTGTTGTGTCACTGAACCCTCAATGTATGAAGTGAAAAGACAGGTGTGAAGCAGTTTATCGTCTACCCTGGAAGACATTCTACAGTTACGTTGTTTTCTGCTCAGTGGCTGCATATCAACCTAACCCTAACCTTCTACTATATACTGCTCCGTGTGTGCATATGAACGAAATACTATACCTCATTACAACCCTAACCCTAACCCTATCCCTAAATACATGCTTATCTCAGACCCAACCCGCAACACCGTCTTTATACTACCAACCTTAACTCTATCCCAGACCAACCCCTAGCTATTAACACAGTCCCTTAAACTACTGACCCTAATCCTATCCCAACCTTAATGCTCAACCTTAACTCTTATCCTAACCCTAACCCAAGGCCCTACCTGAACCATATCTGAACTTTCATACCCAAACCTGTACCCAGAACCTTAACCTAAACCTCAAAGCCAAGTCTGAAACTTCTAACCCTGGCCCTGACAGCTAGCGTGCCCACAGCAAATATCCAGCCACCCATGAATTGTCTGCATCACATCACAGTGAGAAGGAGATGACAAGTGTGAATTGATCTGTCGCCGAGCCTGGTTGGTATTCTATTACCAGGGGGGTGTTTCACAAAGATCCTAAGTAGAACTTAACACTAAGTTTGACTTAAAATTATGGACAGCCATTGGAGCCTTAAAATGAAATATACTCAAAAGCAGAAATTCAAGTATTTTAGACATTTTATAAATTCCACAACAAGAATATGAAATCTCCTTAATGATAGAAAATATGAAAGATTTGAATAAACATTTTATACCTTTCAAAAATATTTTTACCAAATATTTTCAAAGATGCTAATGGCTGTCCATAATTTTTAAGTCCAACTTAGAGTTAAGTTCTACTTAGGATCTTTGTGAAACACCCCCCTGGTCGTACTAGATCGTTTCCTGCTCTGTGCGTGTGTATCAACTTGCCTCATTATTGTGTAATTTGCAGTTCCTCAGGGGATTGTTACTTGGTTCAGGGCCGATAGCTGATACATGTAGAGACAGTGTAATGCATGTACAGGTCTTCAATCAATGATCCATATATAGAGTGTATTCGAGTGAATGGATATACATAAAAATACTGTATATGCACATGTTCATCTAGTGCACATGTTCATCTAGGTCAAATGTATCATATTACACAGTAAAGAAACAATTTTGTTTGTCGGAAGCTCTTTATTAGATTTCTATTGAAAAGCTGACATCTCAGAGCAGAATTTGTATGTACCACTGTAGGATTTTTTTCTTTCATTTTTTTCTTTCTTGTCTTTTGTTTTGTTTTGCTTTTTTATTTGTTTTTATTTGGTTGTTTGTTTGATTGTTGTTGTAGTCTGTGTGTGTTTTTGTTGTCCTTTCAGAGCTCTGTCAGAAGAATATGTGGGCACAACAACAAAATCCCAAGGTTGATGATCACAAAACATTGAATCACATTCTTTTTAAGGAAATATAGCTAATGATGCTCCTCCTTCTATTTGAGAGCAATTATCCTTGTAAAACTCATTGAGAACAAAAACTATTTTAGGAATAGATCCTATCAACAAAAAGATAACAAACATATTCCCAGAACAATCCACCACAGTGCATGCTTAGACAAATTCAAGTGACCTAAATTAAGCAATCTTGAAGTACAAATGTATATCTTTCCAACTCATATATATGTACCTGACATGTAATTGGTAATATTGTCAAACTTCTAAATTAAGCGCTCTAATTGTGCCACAATTAGAGCATACTTAGACAAATTCAAGTGACCTAAATTAAGCAATCTTGAAGTACAAATGTATATCTTTCCAACTCATATATTTGTACCTGACATGTAATTGGTAATATTGTCAAACTTCTAAATTAAGCACTCTAATTGTGCCACAATAAGAGCATGCTTAGACAAATTCAAGTGACCTAAATTGAGCAATCTTGAAGTACAAATGTATTACTTTCCAACTCATATATATGTACCTGACATATAATTAGTAATATTGTCAAACTTCTAAATTGAGTGCTCTAATTGTGCATTCGAATGACTACTCCATATTTGAAGTTTAGTGACCTAAATTGAGAAACCTTAAAGTACAAATGTATATCTTTCCAACTCATATATATGAACCTGACATGTAATTAGTAATATTGTCAAACTTCTAAATTAAGCGCTTTAATTGTGCATTCAACCACAATGCTCTTAGACAAATTAAAGTGACCTAAATCAAGTAATCTTGAAATACAAATGTATATCTTTCCAACTCATATATATGTACCTGACATGTAATTAGTAATATTGTCATACTTCTAAATTAACCACAATGCATGCTTAGACAAATTCAAGTGACCTAAATTAAGCACTCTTGAAGTACAAATGTACTACTTTCCAACTCATATATATATACCTGACATGTAATTAGTAATATTGTCAAACTTCTAAATTAGGCGCCCTTAATTGTGCATCTGAATGGCTACTCCATAGTTGATTGATTGGTACAGATGTCGGTTCTATCACCTCTGGTCAGCGGAGTGCTTGACCACTCGGTCGTCCATTTATTCCCGTCCATTTATTCCCACCAATTTTGACCTCCAGTGATGGATGATATATGGAGCTGGGTCATTTAACGTGCCATCTCAATCTCACAAAAATTAAGCTCTACTTCTCCAAGAGAAAATTAAGACCATGGGATATTTCACAAAGATCCTAAGTTGAACTTATCTCTTAAGATGGACTTAAATATTATGGAGAGCCATTTGTAGCCTTATAATGAAATATATTCAGAAGCAAAAATTGAAGTATTTTAGCCTTTTCATCAATTTCACATCAAGAACATGAAATCTCCTTGATTTAGAAAATATGAATGATTTGAAACAACATTTTATGCCTTTCAAAATATCTTTTACAAAATATTTTCAAAGATGCGAACGGCTTTCCATATTTGTTAAGTCACACTTAGAGATAACTTCAACTTCAAATCTTTGTGAAACACCCCCAGAAGTGAAAAAAAAACTTGCATCAAGGACTTATTTTTACATTTTCTCTTTTTTCACCTCAAATCTTGTCCTTGTACATGGGGAAACCTAATAAGTTGTATCTTGGGACTGATAATATCCACATGTAGGTCAAATGACTTACATCAATCATCTTTGCTACTGACCTACATGTACATATACCTACCAACCTCCCGCAGCAACAACAAAAAGAGTCATCTTCAAAGCCAAAATTGGGAATATAGTGTATTTTACAAGATTGTTATACAAGATGTTTTCAGCAAACAAAAGGAATATAAAGTTTATTGGAATCTAAAAATGTATTGATATTCAACACTAATACATCAAGGGTTCGGTGACACAAAGACATAACTCCATATTTTGCCAAAATGAGTATTTGATATCAAAATGTTCAGAAAAATGTGGGCTTTCAATGAAACACAAAGACTTAAGTCCATCCAACACCCCCATTGAAGTCAATGACTAGTGAAACAGACTTAACTCCTTAGTTCCAAGTGCTCAGTGACACATAAACCACTTTTTCTCAAAATGGCCAAAATGGAGTTACATCTTTGTGTCACTGACCCCTCGACATGTACATAACCAGAACCAATTACCATTTGAAGTGGTATTATATGTGAAGGGATTATTACAACATTCAACAAAATCATAACAGTTCCACATCTACTCAAGATCGGGGCCCTGTTTCATAAAACTTGATATCAATAACAAGTTACAAGCTACAGTTATAAGCTACTGAAACCATGGCTTGTGATTGGCTGAGAGCAAATTTGTCATAGAAATTTGTCATTTGTCATAGATAAAATTTCAGAAAATAACACATGAACATCCCCCAAACAAACCTACTGTATAGGCAATATCTTCATTCTCACATTAACAGACTTTTAACAGTTGAACCTGTCTAAAGGCTACCCTAAGGATACACACAAAATGGCCACAGTAGACAGGTGGCCTTTCTAGACAGGTTCTTGAACACACAATTCCTTCTAGAGGGAGGCATATATAGGTGACCAATATAGACAGGTGACCTTTATAAACAGGTGACCTTTATGAACAGGTTACCTTTATAAACAGGTGACCTTTATAAACAGGTGACCTTTATAAACAGGTTACCTTTATAAATAGGTGACCTTTATAAACAGGTTACCTTTATAAACAGGTGACCTTTACAAACAGGTTACCTTTATAAACAGGTGACCTTTATAAACAGGTGACCTTTATAAACAGGTTACCTTTATAAACAGGTGACCTTTATAAACAGGTGACCTTTATAAACAGGTGACCTTTATAAACAGGTGACCTTTATAAACAGGTGACCTTTATAAACAGGTTACCTTTATAAACAGGTGACCTTTATAAACAGGTTACCTTTATAAACAGGTGACCTTTATAAACAGGTGACCTTTATAAACAGGTGACCTTTATAAACAGGTTACCTTTATAAACAGGTGACCTTTATAAACAGGTTATGCAACACACATTTCCTTCTAGAGGGAGGCAATATAGGTGACCCATATAGACAGGTTGCCTTATTAGAGAGGTGGCCACTAAAGTATTATTGAATTGCCTAAATAATTTGGCGTAAAAATAATAATGTTATTTGATACGGTCATCAGATATATAGCAATCTTAGATGTGGTACACTGTATACCACGTATGGGACAAAATGCAATGTATCCAGGGCCCCGTCTTACAAAGAGTTACGATTGTTCCAAATCAATCGCAAGTCCTCCAATCGATCACAAGTTTGCAGTCTCCTATCTCTTATGTACATAGTTACGATTGATATAAATCCCAAATACTTTGTGATTGATATCAACTCTTTGTAAGACGGGGCCCTGGATTTGCCCAAAATAAAGTCACAAGAAGGTGCATGTCCTCAAAAGCAACAACAACAACATTTTTTTTTTAAATTGAGTACAGAAGATTTTTTGACTTACACTTTTGCGACTTCCTGAGGGTCGATTTCAAAGGCCAGGTGACTGCCTGCTACGCTACCGAACCTTCCAGCTGTGTTGGCCATGGAGGGAGTCCCAGGGTTGTAGCACAGCGTCTCTAGCTCTTCCGGTGGTATGGGCGTGGTAGGTAACACAGGCTGAGCTGTAATGAGGAAGAGAGATATAGATGGTTAATCACATTAGGGGCGTAGCTACAGAAGGGTATGGGGGTAGGCCCTGCCTCCAATCGAATGGTGACTAAAAAGGGAGGAGAAAACAAAAGGAGAAAGCTTAAGGAAACATGAATAGAAAATCTGTTTCGCAAGATTGATGCCCCCCTCCTCTCCTTACTGATGCCAGTGCCTCCACCCACCCCCCCCCCCCCCCCACCATTAGTAGATTTCTGCTAAACCACTGCATGACATTGTATACAAATACAAAAATTGTTTAAACAAATAGTTGTCTTTAAAATATCCTAGCACTATAATAAAGAATGTCACCACAGAATATCTGCTGTATAGTCTGCTTCAAGCAAAAAGGGAATTAACTAACTCATACAAGGCCCTTTAATCTATCAGCTGACAATATTCAAACAGACTAAACCTCTTCTTTAACCACAAAAGGCATAATGCTGCCACAATAGTCTCAAAATCAACTTACGTATTGTTAGAGGTCCACACATTCCAATCGTTACGTTTTCAAAGCTGGCTGCTTTCTCAAATCCAAGCAATCTGATTAAAGAAAAAAGAAAGACATGTTTCAATCTCTTCTTCATGATCATAAGGAAAAAAGCTCTAGCTGATAAGAGAGCAAGCTACAGTAAATCGCCATTTTCAATGTATAAAGCAAATTTATGTTTTTAGACCCAGGTAAATGATTTAAAACAATTTGACTTCAAGTGAGAAAAGCTTGTAGTACACCATAACTTAGTTCATGTCTACAATATATAGAAATGATTAATTTTATATCATTCACTCACTTTCCGACCTTCAGTGGAACACATAAGTAACCTAACAGACTAGCCTTCTTCTCACTTTGTCACAAATTAAAATAAGCACTAATGCTGTTTCAATTATAATCCAGTTACTTTAAAGAAGTTTCTTTGACTTGTGTACATTATTTCTACCATTGTTATCTATCTGTTTGTATTTTAATTTGTACTTGAAATCCAACCCCAAGTTTTGGTTGCAATAAAGAAAAAATAAATAAAACTTGTGTGAATATGAACCACTTGTCATATTCACAAACATTTCATGCAAAAGTATTTTAGTTTCATATTACTTACTCTTTCATGACAATGAGGTTCTCGATACACCCTGAGAAGCTTGGTAATGAAGAGAACTCTGGACTGAGCGTGAGGTTTCCCGTTGATCCTATGTAGAAGGGTGACATGGCATTGATGTAGAGCTCTGTACCAGATAGACGACCCGTATCAACGCGACGATCGTCCACGATCAGATTCACCCTGGATAGGTGACAGGATTACAACAGTTACAATCATAGTTATATGGATATACTTATGATATTAAAAATAATGTTGATGATGGTGGTGGTGGTGACGATGACAGAGACAGTGATAATGATTATGATAATGATAAATTTAATGATGATAATGATGATGATTGGTGATTGTGATGATGGTGAAATAGATTATGATGATGATAATGATATCAATGATGATGATAATGATGATAGTTATAATACTGATTATGATGACGATAATGATGATAGTAATAATACTAATAATAATGATGATGATGATGATTAAAATAAAAGTGATGATGATGGTAAAGATGATGATGATGATGATGGTGATAATGATGTTGGTGATGATGATGATGAAGATGATGATGATGATGATGATGATGATGATGATAGAAACAAAATATCCCATGACTGAATCTTACCTCTTATCTTTCTTGACCAGGACAACATTGTGAGCAGAACCATCATTGTATGGACTGTCCCCTCTCCTGGACTTCAGGGTCAATCTTCCTTGACCGTTGTTAATCTGGACGATGATACGTCCATTCAGCAGCCCAATAGCATAGAAGATCTGTATAAATAAATTGGAAAGAAGAGTTGATTGTATTGCAAGTAAGACTAAATTATGTGATTCAGGAAACTTGGGATGAGATTTTAGCAGACTACATGTTCATGTTTCCTGCAAAAAACCACTTCACACAACAACGTGTTGTATTCACGTTATAAAGTCCTTCTTAGAACCAACCAGTGTTAAAGATGTTCATGAGTTTTTCGTGAAGTAGGCAACTTGGCGATCACTACATAACACTGAGCCAACAGGTATAATGCTCCTGTGCATACTTCTGTATGCTGCCCTCTATATACCCACGCATGAGCAACTTTAAAATACAAGATTTTCAATTTCTCACATCAGTTGCATCTGGATCCACGTCCCTCCGTCTCCTTCCCTGGGCCTCCCCCGCTGCTAGAATGGTAGCATTTGGCATCAAGGTCGTGAAGGTCACGGTAATATCAGTCTCCCTTGATAGAGGGATGGGTGGAAACGCCACATAGCCATAACCAGACATGCCTACACGGCGCTGAGTCTGAAAATAGAGAAATAAAATGTAATTATAATGAACTTGATATTTTTACTTATGTGACATTTTCACATGCATTCAAACAATAACTTGGTAAATAGCATGCCGTGTTAGTATGTTTTGTTTTTTGTTTTTTTTTCATTTTTTTTTACTTTGGAACAATTTGAATAGTACGGACATCTAATACACATAAATATATTTTGAAAGATGGGGCTTTAATTATTTAATAACTCAAATAATTTTTGTACAGCAATGTGGAAAGGCAGGTAAGAAATGTTCTGTCTCTATTTTATTTGTTTATGGGGGTAACAAACAGGAAAGATCTCTGGTTTAAAATTCTTAATCCCGGGATTTTGCATACTTCCTCCTCAAGATCCAATACAAACTAGACATATAATACTTGTTTGGAACAAGTATAGGTGGGCTGGTCAACTAACATTTGAGACAAAATAGAGCAAAAATAAGCGACATACTGCTTACAAATTTTTAAAAGACAATATCATGTAGATTCATAACGTGAACTAAATTCACCTTCTATAGGCATAACACGCAAATTATGAAGTTTTTGACATGAGGCCTTTAATCAAAATTTTCACTATGATGACGTCATCAAAATGAAAAATGATTATTACTGCGCTTGTAGAGAATTGTCTTAGCTACATCATATCGAAATTTGGAAGAAAATCGATCAATATTTACAGAGATACAATCAATGTTACATAAATATGCTGACGTCATTATATGCAAATTCGTATTTTGAGTTCCAAGGCCATTATGATGATGTCACGATACACTTAATGGCCAAATGAGACATGGAATCATATTTCCAACTCATACTCTATCTAAATATGAAAAAAATTTGAAGGTCACGGTTCATTTCAAAGAGCTATAATGGATTTTGTATAGGCATGTTTTTGCCTATATATGCTATGTAATAAAAGAGCTCGCGCGCACGGACATTTATCTTGAATCGACGCTCATCTTGTTATTAATGGTCATGAAGAGATAAACAGAGTATCATATTCCTCGAAAAATATGAGAAATATCATGAAAGAAAAAAAATGGCGACTCTATGTTGTGTAATGGTGTTACGCGCGAAAACGCGCGCATGCGCGTGTGCGCGATTTTTTATAAAATGCTTAAAATGACCTGAAACGTATGCAAAAAAAATTTGAGATGATTTTGAGCATTTAAAATTTTTGCGCGCGCACTGACGCGCGGACGTACGCGCATGCGCGCGTTTTTTGACCTGAAATTAACCGGACTGATATTGACCTTGATCATGATAAATATGAATGAGAAATAACTTTTGGTTATGAAGATATGATTAAGAGTTGATTTTCAGAAAATTTCACAAAATGGCGCCTAGATGACGTCATCAGTCAAGGTCAAGGTTGAAAACCTTACCGTGTTTTGTCCATATGCCTATACATATGTGTGCCAAATATCAAAGCATTTGATTGAACCATTACAAAGTTATCTTGCTAACAAAAAAGTGGGTCAAAATAAGAAAAATAAATAAATAATAATAATAATAAATAAAGGCAATTTTAACAAAAATATAAGGTGGTCTGTATTAGATACAGCCCACCTGATAAATCAACAGGAAATGTAAGAATGATGCTCTTGTATCAGCTTTTAGTGACTTTGTGATATTCTAAACCACCTTGCCTCTAACAAAAACACTGTCCTAGATAGGAGCTGCATTGATTTGTTTACCAACCTGTTCAATACAACCATGTGTGACCCCAAACGAGCTGCCGGGATTGACCAGGGGATAACCTGAGCGGAAGAGGAAGAATTTGCGAAGGCATCCTCGGAACTTCTGACTGGTCACGTTGCGGCTGAATAAAGAAAAGGAAACAAGTTTAGGATACTGATAAACTATTAACAAATTGCATACAATCAGACTCGGATATAACATACTGTACATTCTTGATCGTCCCTAGCCTGAGATAATTATCTTAAGCTTAATACTCGGTATGTCTGTAACATAAGCACTTAATTGTACTCTAAATCACAACAAATAGCAAACTTTCTTTGGAGCGAAGTAGCTCAGAAGTTCAATCTTCTTGACATCTTGGCTATGAAATCCCCCACCCACTGGTATGCACTGGTGTTTGTTTGGTTCTTTTTCTTCTTCTTTTTTATTTTGTTTTATGTTACTTTAAAACCTATATTATTGGACATGTAGAACATTTCTTCTTTGTCTAAAAGCATCATAAATTGCAGCTTACATTCACTTGCCTCCAATTATTAAAAAAATTATAATAAACATCAGAAAATGAAGAAAAAAAGAAAAGATCGACTTACAATATTGTAAACTCTGATGGAACACCTCCAACATGGACAAAGTCGACCCCAGTGACCTGAAGATTGACCTCCGACCCTGGTGACTTGGCCATGCCCTCGCTGACCCCATTGATGAAGAGGTTGTCTATGGAAAAAGGAAAATTAGTGAGGTATTGATCAGTTGCAACCCTAATACAGGTTGATGGATATCACACATGACGATGCAAATACAAATTAAAATACATCATAAAATACAAAGGAATAATTTCATAAAAAGACAAACAAGTAAATGAATAAGGAGAAAATGATGACTAAAGAAGATAAACTAGTATGCAGAGAAGGAAAAATAAAAGCAAAGTTGCTTGTGCGGGTTTATCCCCAAAATAATTATATCACATGGCAAACATTGTTAAATGGAGGGGGGTTGTGGTCATTGGAATATAACCATTATAAAGATGCCAAACTACACATACAATGTTATTTTTAAGAGTACAGATTAATCATTATACAAATGTATATTCCTTTCAATGATTATGACTTCTCATCTACATGAGCATGTAGTCAATGACTTGGAAGTGTTAACATACTACACGTAACACTAATGTTGGTCATGTTTTACTATCTGCTACATTACTACTTCTATTACACATCCACTTACTCATTTGCCTGACCCTGTTAATGCTGACTGCATGCCATTCTCCAGTATTGATCTTGGTTTGAGAGACGAGGATACCGACCCCTTCTCCCAGATCATGCTTGATCGCAAGTCGTCCGGCCTCCATCTCTATCGATAAGAAGGAACTCTGGAAAGGGAGAGGATGGACAACTTTGAACATATATTTTTAAGTATTATTTCATGGCCTAGGACCCTGTTTCATAAAACCTGTTATCAATTTAAAATGTCACCTGGAGTTGATTCAGAGGTGTGACTGAGATATAAAATAGAATGCATTTTACTTTTGGTCCTTGAAACTTTGCCCAAGCGTTTACACATGTCAGAACTGAATGAAGTTGTATTTTAAACAATCTTCCTTCTCTTCTCTCTATTCTCTTTCATCTCCACTACACTCTATGTTCATATGATTCATCCAACTGCTGAGTAAAATGAGAGTGATATGGAAACGAATATAATGCTAATGAATGTAAAATCATTCCACCTCTTCCTCACTTTTTCAGGTATCAACAGATTTGCATCATTATTTTTAAAACAAAGCTCAAGCTTGCCTGTTCCGTTGTAAAATTTGATCTTCTCCCTCGATTAATAGTTTAACTTAGGACATGTGATATCCTGTAACGTCATCTTTTGAAGCACTACAAAAGAGCAGCTCATTATCTGAGTGTCTTGACGTCGTAGAGAAGTGAGATGGTGTAATGCCACTCTCTTTCTCCCCAAAACCATAGTTTCTTTCATTCTCTAACCCCTGATTTTCAGAAGCACTACAAAGAGAAGCCCAATTTCTGAGCATCTTGACGTCAAATCTTGACGCCACATCTCCCTACCTTCACCCCATCCTCATCTTGTTTTTTAAACCCCTCCTACTTGATTTCTTAAGTAAATGTACTGAAAAAGAGCAGCCCATTTTCTGATGGTGTCGTGACATCTAAGTTACATATGTGAGCTGATGGAGTCTTGTACTCCCTCCCTTCCCCCTTCTACGGTTTCCTTTCACCTGAGTAACTATATACTATCCTTTTGTAACTGATCTCCTAACGCACTTTAAAGAGCTGAACATTCTCTGACAATATCTTTCGAGTCATAGATCAGTGCTTTGATATACTCATGTATTCCCTCCTCCTCCCTTATTATCTTCCTCTCCACTCCCTCCACGCTCTTCTCCCATCTTTCCTCCCTGTCTCTCTGCTCTCCCCCATCCTTCCTCCTTATCTTTGCTCCCCCATCTCTTGTTCTCATCTCTTGTTCTTATCTCTCTGTTCTCCCCCATTCCCCCTCACCTGATCCTCAGAAGCACTGTAAAACAGCAGCCCATTCTCTGACAACGTCTTGATGTCAAAGTTGAGTGAATTTATGTACTCGTCCCAGAGTGGTGGCTGCCTGAGCTTCGCATATCCTGTACCATCAAAGTAGGCCCCTGGTTCTGCAGTACTTGTACTCATAATTGGGCTGAAAAACAAAGGTAAATCAAGAGAATATTAATTCCCTAATAATTTTTTTTTCTTTCTTTTTTCTCATTTTGCAAGTTTGTTTTGCTCAATGTACAACTAAAATAATAAAGGCCCAGTAAAAATGTTGTTTTAAATGGTACCAAAACAACATTCACAGCAAAAATGTAGGAATGTATGCAATTCGCATTTTGACTATTAAAGTACAATAATTATTAATAGGTGAATGAAATTATTTGTAACAAGGCAACTAATAAAGATTTGTATATTCAATTCAATCCCATTTAGTTTATTCAATTCCAATAAAATATACAGAACAGAATACATTCATGACAGAAGAACAGTATAAATTGATCAAGAGTACAAAATAAGGTAAAATGATAAAACAATAAAGCGATACATCAGATAACAAATTGGAATTGGGTGGCCATACAAAAAAAAAAAATTCAATTTGATAACATTACAAAAATGGTCTATTGAAGTCCTCTATTGGAACCTAGTGCCTGAGAGCAACAGTAATCAGATTCACTTTTTTTCAGCTCCCGTCAAATAATGTGTGTATTATGTTATTCTTATGTTCATTTGCGAAATAAAATGTTAATAATCTATACATGCATGTACCAGAGCCATCTATACACAGAGTTTGGCCAATCCGGTTTGAGTTGGACACAGTTGTGACCCAGTGAAACCAAGTTGGCCAAGCTCTGTGTATAGATGGCTCTGGCATGTACCTTCTGAAGCTGCCCTCCCCAGGTCCTTGCGAAGTTTTGAAGTTCCAGAGTCCAATGGCCACATCATCAAAGATCACCTCTCCTATGGAGCCATTGAAAGACTTGGTAGAAAGCTCAGGAATCTATGGAGTAAACACATGAAAGGAAATATAAACCACTACGATCTACAGAAATTGTGCTGAAGTTAATACAAAATCAAGTAAAACCCAATGGGTTAAAGAATACTTTCATGTTTACTTATTGCACAGACTTACACAAATTAGATAATAGTTTTGTGAACACAATGATTGTGTCACCATTGTGTAATATATTAATCTTTCTAATCCATACATGTACAACTAGTTTTATGAATGTTTCATCGCTATGTGTGTTTGACACTTTCAATTACTCCTCATTTAGAGCAAGCACTCAGTGTATGCCTGCTATATTTGTCCAAAACAGACCACCAAAAGAAAAGTTGTTGAAATTCTTGATAAAATTGCTAAATATATATCAAACGGACGTTCATATATGCTCATACTTTTTATTACACAACATACATGTAGATGTGAATGATTTGATGAAGACTTGAGTGATTTTGAAATAATAAGTGAGAAATTCAAGCAAACTTGGAGGATAGAGTATGGACAGCCATTAGGGCCAATATTAACAACCACAAAAACAAAAAGATATATGCATTAAAACAAACAAAGGTCAGAGCAAAATAGACAAAGTACCCAGAAGAATGGCCGCCCCTAATAGAGAAGGGAATATTAAATAATCCTTAGACGCTGTCAATGTACATACATCAAAGTTGGGTGGGATCCCTGCGATGAATAGATTGCTGTCCTCCCTCACATCCAGAACATTCCTACCCTCTGGAGAGACACCTGTCACTGTGCTCCCATTAGAGGTCTTAGCCTGGGAGGAATCTTCCACTTTGAGAGAGGCAGTGTTGGCAAATCTGAGGGATTCATTAAAAGAGACAAAAGGTCATTAGTAATTAATGAATTTATTTACACATTCAAACACAATCCTCCCCCTCTCTTACATGGTGCAACCGTAAGCCTACTGTATACATTCAAACACATCTTCAAACTGAATGTTATAAAGCCCCACTGCACTACTTATAGCTACTTGCGCCCTTTATATAGCAGTCAATGCCTAATCGGTGACTGTTGGTCCCCCATGGTCCCATTTTTCTTATGTTAATTGAGAGCTGATTTGATGAGACAACCACCGGTCCATGACCATGCAGGGAGGTCTAATCCCTCCTGGCCAAACTAGTGCAGATAGCCTTTAAAAGAGAAGTTTTGAGATCTTTGGTAGCAGGCCAGATGACTTGGAAACGAACACGACATATTGTGATTGAGAAAAAGACTTGGGAATTTTATGGAAAATCTCCATATTTAAAAATGTCTTTGACAGAACAGATTTTCTGCAAAAAAATCTCAAAAAGGTTCAATATTGTCATTGTTCAGGTCAAAACGTCGCTGCATATTATCAAGCTAAGTGAGGAAGAGATGGGGAGAGCAAGGATATAGGGAAGAGAGATGGGAGAGGGCAGAGATAACATGAAAGAGAGAAATAAAATGAGATTCCAGGGAAGCATGGCATAGAGAGTGAGTGATAGAGAAAATGGGAGAAAGAGAGAGAAGAGAATGATGGAGAGAATAAGAGAGAAAAAAGTGAATGATGGAGAAAATTCAGTTGAGGACATGACAGTGTAAGTAGAGAAATCAAAATAAAGACAAAGAGAGAAACAAAAATAGAATGTTAAATAGAGCATGAAGAAAATGTTGAACTCAGTTTGCAGGCGTGACTTACCTTTCTATATTGATTCTATACCAGTCTTGATTAGCTGACAGGTTGGAGGGGTGCACAACCTCGCCCCTCCCTGATCCTAGATCCCAGCTTAGCCTGACCTGACCCTCAATGGTCTCCACTGCTAGATAGTCACCCTGGAAGTTGTAAGAAAAAAAATGATGCCATTGAAATAATCCTTATTCCTTATTATCATGAATATGTTAACTGGTTGACTACTGAATTTTTCTATTTTCATAGGCTTAACGCAGAGACCATCTGGTTCATGCAGCCAATGGGTTAAAGGTGAACTATCTACATACATTCACACCCTGTATATATGTAGCTCTTCTGGCTTGGAATAAAACTAAACCGAATCCTCTATTCAGTCAATTTCTCTGGCAAGAGACTGAGAGGCTTGTGAGTCTTGAACTAAATGTCCTTTAAAATTGGACATTCTAAACCAAAATAAAAAGCGAGACATAAAGAAAAATATTAACATTCAAAACATGTCATCTGATTTTCTTTTTTTTAAACTAAATTGAGCAATGTACATGTTGGCAACTAAATCATATTTTGGCATCTTTAAAATACAGTATATGGGAAAAATTGTATCTTTATCAAAACATTTTCATTACAAAGATATCTTACCACCATCATCATCATCACAATCCATTATCACGAACATCTTCATATCCATTACTGTCATTATTACATTATGCTGTTGCTGAGCTAGTGCCATGAATGTCCCTGGACGGTGTGTGCGCTCTATAACTTTACAATATTATTATTATTATTAACATAAACACTTGAGGCTTAACATTGTCTGAAGAAAACTGTCAGTATTTTCCTTTTGCATCAATCTTGCCAAGAGAAAAATTGTACTCACTGTAATGTTGTTGCCGACGTAGAAGATCATGTTGTTTGGTCCTGAGATGTTGATGTTGAGCACCAGAGCATTGAAGGCCGTGCTGGATGCTCGAGGTCTGTAACTCCTTGCACAGTCACCTCTACAAAGCAGGGCTACGTTGATCTGAGGATTATAGAAAGATACAATCACCATTTTCTTCCTTATTATTTTGCCTTATCATCAAAAAGTATCTTTCATTATCAGTTCCATTGTAATAATAATTCTTTATTCCATCATGAACTACATCTCCAATCTGTCGCCATCATTTATATATAGTTTATGTTGACATGTACATAAACGTTTACCAACAATGTCATGTGTTCTTCTCATCCCATTTGTAATCATCACCCTCACTTTAGAAAACTTAAAAATCTCTCTGCCCCCTCCCCTCCTTCTTCCCTCTCTATCTCTCTCTCTCTCTCTCTCTCTCTCTCTTTCTCTGTCTATTATATATGTATGTCTGTCTATCTGTTTGTCTCTTTCTCTCTCTGTCTGTCTCTTGCTCTATCTATCTCCCTCCATCTTTCCCTGCCTCCATCCATTCCTCCCTTCCTCCCTCTCTCTTTCTTTTCCGATCCCTCTCTCTACATCTCTCTACCTTTTTTACCCTCCCTCTCTCTAACTCTCTCTCTCTCTCTCTCTCTCTCTCTACTTCTTCTCTCTTTCTCTCCCTTCATCCATCACCATCATCTCTTACCCTAGATTCCTCAGTCCTTGCATGTCTAATCTTGTCTCTCAGCTGTCTGAGGTTCAGCTCCATCGGTGCCCTCTCTCTCTCTCTCTCTCTACCTCTTTTTTCCTCCCTCCCTATCTCTAACTCTCTACCTCTTCCCCCCTCCCTCCTCCATCCATCATCTCTTACCCTAGATGCCTCAGTCCTTGCATGTCTAATCTTGTCTCTCAGCTGTCTCAGGTTCAGCTCCATAGGTGCCCTCTGTGTTTCTATGTGAAGGGCTTGATTGCGCAACGTTCCCATCTTCATACCCATCTCATCCACCATGCCAGCGGATGCCTCAACTGTGAAGGACAACGTGTTAATAATTATGCCAATAGTCATATGAAGTTGTACAGTGCATTATCAACTCTTTGCAAGTCTTGATCAACAAATAGAACAGGCACTGGAGTGCCACAGTCAAATTTTGTCCCATGTACAGTGCGTATGAACAACTGTACACTGTAGCAGTGAGTGGCCTCTGAGAACAACATTTAAAGACCCCTATCCGATCGAAAATTCAACTTTATATCAATGGGAAGCAGAATGAACGTAGAATACAAATTTGGGATGAGACAGAGAAATTCCCCAAAGATTTCAAGTTTCCAGACAGCTGTTACTTTTCTGACAGACACTAAAATGGCATATAATTAGTATTATTGAAATCAAAGGCTGTTAAGTTTTCCGTCGATATATAATTCATTCATTTCATTTTTCACTTCTACCAGGGTCTTTAAGAAGCGTTTGAAAACACAATTTTCTAATCTGTGTAACACTAGTTGCTTACTTTGAACTCAGTATTATTCAACTTGTACAGCACTCTCTCTCACAACTTATATATGTCATGCACCTTTTGTGTGTACATTATGAAGGAGGGACATCATAAATGAAAGGCAGTGTACCGGTACTTCTGACCATTGAATAAGAATAAATATTTAACCAACCTGAATTAGCTATGTCATCAGTAACATTGATGTACGCCTGGTACTTCCCACCAATCCCATCAAGTTTCTCCTTGAGTCCTGCTGCTCGTTCCGTGACCCTTGCTGACCTGTCCGCAGCCTTGGTCGCCATGTTTGTCGCCCTCATGGAGCTGTTGATGGATCTCTGGGCGTCGCTCGCTATGTCTGTCAGATGCGATGAAACAACAAGAATTTAGTAAACTGACAACAACATACAAAAAGCAAGTCAGAAAACGTTCCAGAAACAACCAAAAATACCTTGTGCTAACACTGCATATCACAATATTTTCGATTTTTTGTGTTCTATTTTAACAAGTATCGCAACAGTGATAATAGATTAAAGGACAAGTAAAAACCTAAGATAAAGCCAAACTTGTTTTTTATTACTTCTGTTGATATTTCACTCCATGTTTTGCTTTGTTTTATTTTTGTCAGTTATCTTGCTACACAACATATTGGATTGACTTGACATAATTACTGTCAGGGAGATGTGAGTTGGTCTAGCAGTACATTCATTTGGTCAGATCTCCGTCTTGTCCTACAAACAATTACGTTTTTGTGAATAGCATTTTATTTTATTAGTTTTTTATATATGCAATCAGGTGTTAGATGTTAGGTGTTAGTTGTTAGGTGTACGGTGTTAAGTGTTATACATGTAGGTTAAAATTGTCACTAGGGACCAGCCCCACACAAGACTTAATTGTTCTTTCTTGCTGGTTCCTCATTCGTATATATATTTGTATTTTATGTTTATCTTTCGTTATGTTATTTGTATGTTCTTTACCTATCTGTAAATATCAATGTTATAATCAATGTTATAATCATGTATGTTTTTTATACGACGAATGAAATAAAAAATGAAATGAAACTGAGTCACATTTGGCGACGCTAAGGGTCTGTCCCCAGACAAAAATAATCATATGGGGCCTGTCACCACGAAATGAGTCCAGTTGGTCAAAAATTTTATTCCTGTTTTTAAGTATTATATGAATCTACATTAAGTAAGCTTTAAATTAAGGGGTCACACATTAAAATTGATAAATTATATCCAGAAATATGAACAAAAACCTAATTGGACTTTATAACAATGGGATTACCCAGTTTTGAGATAATTAGGTGTAAAGTTAATGATGCGTAACATATTATAGTCTGGTCAACAACAACATAGCAACAACACACTTCCCATCTTCGATTTCAATGAAACTTTCAACAAACAAAGAAATAATAAGTCGATTTTTGGAAAAATCTTAAATGTGGTAGGTGGGTCAATTTTCAGTACATACACACTATACATCGCTATTACTACGATTGAGCCTAATGCGACACTGGACTCATTTCGTGGTGACTGGCCCCATATCTGTTTAATACCCCTCTGTGAAACCCCAATGAAACAAGCATGCACACACATTAAGTCTTGAAATAATCAACTTCCTTTTAAATTATACAAGTATACCTTGTTCTAATGGTGGCAGAGCTTGTTTTATGTCGTCCAATCCTTGACTGGCCTCATCTTGAATAGCGTTGACCTCCTCCACCTGACCTCGGAGGCCAGCAAGTTCAGAGGTCATAGTCTGGAGGTCAGCTTCAAGGGACAATGTCTGTTGGAGTTGGTTGAAGCCTTTGTCCTTGAGATCCTTGGCTTGCTGGCTTAGAGATCGAGAGTCGTTGGCGTAAGCCTGGATTTCGAGAGAAAAAGTGAATAGTGGTCAACCTTTATCTGACACTAAAAGGAGAACCCAACATGATTATTTTTGTTTCAAAGAACAAGTTCTCTATCATATAAAACATCTATGTTTATCAAAGAAGAAAAAAGGTACATTAGATAAACAAAAAGAAACAATGATTATTGCAAGAAACGTTCCTATAATGTGCAGTAAAATGTGAACACTTGCATGTGCAAATCTGCATTCACAAGTGGTATGCATACATATGTACCAAACTGTTTTCAAGATATTCATTAATGCATATTACAATAACATACATGTACCTTTTTGTGTGCCTCATCCGCTGTCCTCTTGGCTTTCAGTGATGCATTATGGGCCTCGTTGATAGCTGTCACAATGTCAGAGTACGCCCTTTCTGCTTCAAGAGAACCTTGCGCATGCTGCTGGGTGGGAAGCAGAAGGCTGTAAAAGAGAGCAATGGAAAATGTGTCTGAAAAGGCAAAATCTTGTAAAAACTTGTGAAAAAACTAAATATATTCATTTTCATTTCCATGAAAAAAATTCTGTCAAGTTTACAGGCATGTTTCAATTGCGTTAGATCTCCATGAAAAAAAGTATTTGTAAATTGGTAAAGTAAATTGTGATACTCGTTATTGTTACGAATTTGTTTGGAGTACCAAAGAAAATAAACAGTTAAGTCCAATGTGACTGCTGTACAACACACACTTTCAATAGACCCCAGCCCAAGTCATCTCAGGCTCAGTATTCCAAGTGTTGAAGAAATAGACATGCATACAAAAACCTTGCAGCTATAACCCACAATTGCGGTGGCCTACGAGACAAAAAGTTCATGATTCTAAACAGCCCACAAGATTTGGCATTGACAATCTTGTGAGTACCCTAACTACTTTTCTGTGGGTTAATGTAACCAACATTGTCAGGTTTGTTGACCATTGGCCTTGTTTATCATCAATCTCAATCTGTCAGGTCTACTTGGAAGTCCCCAATATCTTACTTTTCCAGGAGCACTGATCTGTTGTAGAGTTCTATAGCATGTTCCATAGCCATGTCAGCATCCTCACCCAGCACCATCAGATCAATGTCACTCTGATCAGATCTCAGAACCAGATCAGGCAGAACCAAACTCAAGTTCCCATGCTCAGCTTCAGACGTCTGAAATTTGAAATACATGTAATAATATTAATATGCTGCTTTTGTATAGTACATATCACATTACGATATAACATCTCTATGCACTTCCAAAGGAAGTTTGGACATTATTACTCTAGCTTTAACTCCTGCAACCATAACACTTAGGGCATTCAAGGAATGAATCCTGCAAGGTACCCACTTACTCCATAAACACCGGGTTCGAGTGCAGCAAATGTAGATTAATGTCTTGCCAAAAGAAATTTGTGCCGAGGTGGGAAATGAACCCTGTACCTTGTGGTTCACAGTCAGGAACCTTTATCCACAAGACCAAAACACCTCTACATGTATATTATATAGATAAGACAAAAATTCTATATTACCTGATAAGTGTTATTAGCCATCCTCAGTAGATCCTGAGCAGCCTGCAAGAGACGTTCTGCATCCTGCACATCACTTTCACTCTGTTGCTTCTTCTCTTGGATTATACCAGTCATGTTCTAATTTGAGTACAGAAAGAGGAGGAATATTGTAAATTATGATTTTTGAAAGGCTGTATGAACAATGAGATACATGTATATGTGCACCATTACCAATAACCCTAACACTCACTCCAGCTCTTATCTTCATTTTAAACCTTCATTCTCGCCCCCTACTCTAACCCTCTCCTGCACTCTCACTTTGGCCCTCACCCTCATCCTAACTCTCTTCTCCTCCAACTAACCTTCATCCCACCCTCAAGTTCACCCTCATCCTCACCCACACTCCCTACCCCTCATCCTCACCCACACTCCCTACCCCTCATCCTCACCCACACTCTCTACCCCTACCCCTCACCCACACTCCTTACCCCTCATCCTCACCCACACTCCTTACCCCTCATCCTCACCCACACTCCTTACCCCTCATCCTCACCGACACTCCCTACCCCTACCCACACTCCTTAACCCTTATCCTCACCCACACTCCTTACCCCTCATCCTCACCCACACTCCTTACCCCTCATCCTCACCCACACTCCCTACCCCTACCCACACTCCCTAACCCTCATCCTCACCCACACTCCCTACCCCTCATCCTCACCCACACTCCCTACCCCTCATCCTCACCCACACTCCCTACCCCTCATCCCCACCCACACTCCCTACCCCTCATCCCCACCCACACTCCCTACCCCTCATCCTCACCCACACTCCTTACCCCTCACCCTCACCCATACTCCCCACCCCTCACCCACACCCACATTCCCAACCCTCACCCACACCCCCTTCCCCTCACTCCCTACCCCTCACCCACACCCACACTCCCTACCTCTCACCCACACCGCACTGCCTACCCCTCGCCCACATTCCCTTCCCCTCACCCTCACCCACACTCCCTACCCCTCATCCACACCCACACTACCTACCCCTCATCCTCACGCACACCCTCACTCCCTACCCCTCACCCACACCCACACTCCCTACCCCTCACCCTCACCCACACTCCCTACCCCTCATCCACACCCACACTCCCTACCCCTCACCCTCACCCACACTCCCTACCCCTCATCCACACCCACACTCCCTACCCCTCACCCACACCCACACTCCCTACCCCTCACCCACACCCACACTCCCTACCCCTCATCCACACCCACACTCCCTACCCCTCATCCACACCCACACTACCTACCCCTCATCCTCACGCACACTCCCTACCCCTCATCCACACCCACACTCCCTACCCCTCATCCACACCCACACTACCTACCCCTCATCCTCACGCACACCCACATTCCCTCACCCACACCCACATTCCCTTCCCCACACCCACACTCCCTACCCCTCATCCACACCCACCCTCCCTACCCCTCACCCTCATCCTCATTCTTAATCTTATTCGGAACCTCACCCTCAACCTCAACTTCACCCTCCCCTTCAACCTATCCCTCACCCTCATCCTTACCAATGGTAAGAGTTGAGCCTTTGGGATGGGGTTGGGTTTAGTGTTAGGCTTGTCACCATGCTGGCGATACATACCTGAAAGGCATTCAAAGAATCATTTGCACTATTGATGGCATCAAACGCATCTTTGGAGATTCTATCAGCCATTCTGCATCTGATGAGAAGTTCATCAAGCTTGAGAACTAAATCATTCAAGTCCTCCATAGCCTGGCCGATCTTAGCATACAGATCTCGGAGCATTTCAGCATAGCCATTGCTGGTCTTGTCAAGAGTTAGGTTGGCCAATCTAAGGAGAATAAAAAATATACAACATAAGTCTTGATACATTCATTTAATAATTATTTCTTACATTCACTTTAGTCTACCCATGTTGAAGAAATCTGAGCTCTCCATTATTTGGCTCATTAAAGTATACAGGGCACCGTTTCACAAATCCGCCTAAAGTATAAATTCACCGGCATCTCATTATATGCTTGTTATTTCTCAATGCATGCATCTCAATAGGATGTCATCGAACTTGTACTTATGATGTTTGTTTTTTAAACGCTACCCTAGTCTCAGAGCATCTCAGCATATATAGTCATCGTCTGACTTACCGTAGGATATGAATGGATAGTCTATAAAGAAAGAAAATTATTGTAATTCACTCATTCTTCATTTATTCTGTCATTAATTCATGCATGCATCCACTCAACTTTGATCTACCCCATCAACCCCCATCCCATCCCTTCCCCCCGAAGACAACTACTGCCAGGCCAACTATCCCCTAGACATCTACTCCTGGACAACTGCCATGAGCAAAATATCCTGCATATTTACAACCTGATAATTGCATTAATAAGGCAGCAGTTGCCCTAGTGGATAAAAAATCACAGGATCTAAGTTGCATACAGGTTGCGTAAGGGAGTACGTAATTGTCCTGTGAGAGTAGCTATCCACTTATATGTCCTAAATGGTAGTTGTCCTGGGCCCCATTTTGTAACGAGTTGTGATTGATCCAAATCAATCACAAGTCCTCTAATTAATCACGTTTCCAGTTCCCTATCTCTTATGTACATAGTTGTGATAGATATCAATGGCAAATAAGTTGCGATTGATATCAACTCTTTGTAATATGGGGGCCCAGGAGTATAAAATTTAACAGTTGACTACATGTATTACCTTCTTTCTTCTAATGCAGCCACCTGCATCTCTACGAAGGTCCTGTCCCGTAGTTCTTCAAGAATTCCTGTGGCTCTGTTGATAAGCTGTGCATTCTCCCTGGCAGGTACAAGACCTTGGTTCAAGAACTGGTCCTTGAACAGAGCCACAGTTTCTAATAGGAGAATCAGAGAGAAGTTGCAACACAAAATGACGATATTTGGCTCATAAATCTGTAATTGTTCAAGATAACTTTATTCAATACTTTCATTAGAAATACATGTATGTACAGGTAAAGAAACATACAAAAGTTACAAAATAATATCAATATATAACATGAGAATAACATAAGCGGAGAAGACAAGAAGAACAAGGAAAAAAATTCTAAACATGTTCATTCATGAAAGTATTTGGAGACAAGACAGGAAGGCAAGGCTTTATGTAAAATTCTGTCTCCAGTACACATGTATCAAACAAACTATGTACATTATTTAAATTATTATCAATCTTTTACCAGAAAGGGAAAAAAGGAAATCATTGATTGTGTTCATACCATTGATGAGCTTGTAGGTTGCGTTGACTTGCTCATTTAGCTGTCTTGCCCTGAGAGTGACGTCTGATGCATTCATAGCAACCAGCTCAATCCCTCCGGCATCGTTATCAAGCTGATAGATAAAGATACATTTTATTGAAATTACAAGATTACAAAATAATAATAACAATAATGATAACTAAACGTTCTTGTATAGCGCATATAGCACATAGGCGTACTTGCATATCTCTACGCACTTTACAGAACAGAATACAGAAGGAGTGGAATAGTGCATTAAGTTCATAATTGTGAGATCTTACAAAGTGCTAAATAGATATGTTTTCAAATTACTTCTGAACTTTTCGTTTCAATATTTCCAAGGTATTCTGGCAAGTTATTCCATGAACCAGTGGCTGCATGTGAAAATGACCTTTAACTCCCCATAAGATTTTGTCACAGTTTGTGGGACATAAAATTAAGATTTTTTTTGTATAATTAGGATTAAACTTATAAGATGGATTCAATTTGTTACAAAGCAAGTTTCTGATAGGTTTTTACCCATTCAATCCAGATAACCAACTTCCTAAAGATTTGACAAAAGTTTGCCCTACTAAAGTTTAAGGTTGGTTGAAGCCCAATCTACAGGGTACTTACCTTCCTCATGAGCCTTCTTGTTTGTGCGCTCAGATCATTGGTGCCGTTTGGGAGGGATGCAATCAATTCATTGGCGGCAATCACAGCTCGGTTATATGAATCTACCTGATCCTGAATGATAATAATAATAATAAATGAGATTTATATAGCGCCATTATCCATTCTTATTAAATGCTCAAGGCGCTTCAAAATATTAGGGAACACATTACATCATGACAAAGGAATCCTGTACATTTACACAAGAAAGAAAAAGTACAAAAATGAACGAATGAATGATAGATGGATAATAGACAGTATTCTCTTTAATGGGTTGGTATGGATACCTCAAAGAATGATTTATTAAAATTTGGATGCTGGATTGAGAGATGCAGAAGTAAAAAAAGTTGTAGAATCATTACTTTCATCATCACAACCTTCATCACATCATCATCACTGTCATCTTTGCTATCATGATCATCATCGAAATCACCACCATCATCATCATCAACACCATCACCACCACTATAGCAACCACCCCCACCGCCGCCGCCGCCACCGCCGCCACCACCACCACCACCACCACCACCACCACCACCACCACCGCCGCCGCCGCCGCCACCACCACCACCACCACCACTATCACCACCACCGCCATCACTACCACCATAACTACGCCATGGGTATCACTAACCTGGAGTTGGTTTCTGTCATCGGTAAGGCCCATTAGGATGGGCCAAGGAGGAGGGATGAAGCGTGAGGTGTTAAGATTCTTAACATCATCCCTCATCTTATCCAGAGCATCAAGTAGAGGTCCAGTACAGCCGTCATCACAAGCTATGTTAGGAGGGAAAATTACAAGAAATGGCTACTATCAAACAAAAAATGTTTTGATAAATACAAAAAGCTGCCAATATTTTGTTTAATTCATTTTTGTGGCAAGAAAATTTGGCAAAAATTAACCACACACAGTATTCCTTCAAAATCTCTGGCTTAGAGAAACATGCTTTTCAATCATCAGTAATAATTTTTTATTTTTTTTACCAGATCATATTTACTGAACTGTATCGCATAAAAGGTTTAATCAACATTCTGATATGGTCAAGACGGATGAGATGTTTAAAGATTTGGTTAAGATTATAATCAACAGACTCCTGAAGATTTAAGGGGGAAAAAATCGAGATAGATGAATAAAGAAAGCGGAATTCTACTCCGAATCATGATGAGATGATAATGGTTTCATAGATGGGGAATTTAAATTTTGATTATTGTGGTATTGCACATATATTACAAACGAGGACAACATTATGATAAAGTAAATTCTAATTGATAGAAGACATAAATGCTTACTTCATTAAGTTTGGATAGAACAATAAATTAGATTATATATTTCAAATGATCAAAATATTCCTTACAGGTACATCCGTCGCCTGTTATGACATGCCTTGGGCTACACTCGTCACAGCTGCGTCCTGACACCCCCGCAATGCAATGACACTGTCCAGTGGTGCCATTGCACACTGTGGTGTTTGAGCCATACTCATTGCATCCACAGGGGTGGCAGCTTCCACCAGGGATAAGTGGGTTGCCATAATAACCAACAGCACACCTGTCATGAAATGGTGACAAGAGAAAATGAGCTTTTAGTATGTCAACTATTGCAAATACAGTCAAACTTGCTTTAGCGACCACCTGTATAGAAAGACCATCTGTCTACAAAGACCACATTTTTTGTTTCCCTTGAAAATGGTTTTCATTGAAACATGTACTAAAGGAACCTGTACACAAAGACCACCTGCCTATAAAGCCCACTTTATTTTCTTCCTGGTTTATAATAACTAGAGCTACTTTCACTTAAATTTGTATAAATATGTTGTAGAATTTGTCTGTCTTCTTAGAGATTGTTATATCACACAATTTGACTATTTCACTGAATAAAAATTGTAGCACATGGGTGGTTATTATTTCAAATAACCACAAAACAGTGAACCAAAGTGTTTAATTTGTGTTATCAACTTCATATCATAAACATTTTCTGCATTCTACAAATTATACATGTACATGTATCTCAACCAACTGACATGTAAATACAAATCAATTCCATCTTGTAGCACTAGTCAATTATGATAACAAACAAACAAACAGTTGATTAATATAAAATAATATTACCTTTCACAGTATCTGCCACTGTACCCTCTAGGGCAGGCTGTACAGATGTAACCACCATCCTCTGCTGTCTCACACAATGGGCTGAAACTGTAAGGTAAGGAATACAATCAATTACTGATTTCTGTTAAATATTATTTTAGTTTTGTTACCACTAATTCAGAAGAGGAAGATAAATACAGGGTAAATACATATCAAGAAAGTGTAAAGAAGACCAACATAAATCAATTTACCTTTGAAGGGTATACAAAGGGACTTAACTTTCATACCATATTGTTTGCGGCCAAAGTTATCAATTTGTCTTCCAAGAGGTATTTCATACAACAATCTTTGTGGTCAAAATTATAAATTTTCTCTTCCCAGAGGTATCAAAATGCACTTTATTCCAATGAAAAAATAAAGATTCAATTTTTAAAAACATATGAACAATTCATGGATTTATCAATATGTTTTTTTTCTGTTTGTTTGTTTGTTTGTTTGTAATACTGATCGACACCCTGATAGCAATTAGAAAATTCATGAACATGAAGTCTTTCTTACTTGTTGGATAAGATATTGAGAGGGCATCCACATGGTTGGCAGTCATCACTCTGTCCTCTGGTAGCATCGCCATAGAAACCAGGAGCACACAGATGGCATCTGGAACCTGTAGTATTGTGTTGACAATCCTGTAGATATCAATAGTAAGAGAAATCATGAAAATATCTAGAGACGGCAACATACCTTTTCACTCAATCATGGATAACTATTACTTATACGTGTACATGTACTAATTGTAAACAAAAAATAAATATAAAAGATACAAGCAGATTGAACATTTTGTTGATGGACTTATTGTAAATTAAAGATGGTCTAGTAATTTTTCCCAATTTGATGAGCGTTTAAATGATAGATCTTAATCATAATAAAGACAAACAATTTTGGACACACTTGTACAGTGTATATGTAGATAATTGCAATGTGGTTGTTATTACTGTTATTGATTGGTTGTTATCGTTGTTATTACCATTGCCACTGGCATTGTTATTGTTTGTGCTGCTGCTGCTGCTGCTATGCCATTATTGTTGCAATATACATGTTCATGTCTGCATTTTGTTCTCTAGCATGTAAATCTTTATTCACAATTAAACACTTCCATTCTTACTTGAAAGAGTATAAAAGTTACTTAACCTGAAATTAAAATGTATTAATACGCAGGAAACCTTAACCTTACCTGGCACTTGCCGTTTCCATCGTTGCAGACATCTGAATGTTTATGACAGGTACACAGCTCACATCTACCCAGATATGGTCCCTCTTGAACCCTCACATAGCCCGTCATACACTCCTGAAATAGGCAATGAAAGAGTGACAGAGATGTACAAAAGGATGATAATGAAAAAGTTGAAAACATTACAAAAATAAAGGAATATACACAAATTTATGCTTCCTCATACAGGTTAGCCCATCTTGTCACAAACATCAGAAGAACTTAATTCACAAAGATTGACTAGTCTGGAAGATGTGCACTTCCCTCAGTCACAATCCTAGAAGAAACAGAAACCTTAAAATCAATACTTAATGATGCACACGTTAAGAATGCAATACGTTATCACTTGCACTGTGAGCCTACACATCTTTTAATAATATTTGTGCAAAAACTTATAGGTACATTTCTTTTGTATTTCTATTTTTTATATGGGAAATGCAAAAAAAATATATGGATGATAATTCACCAGACTGGTCGCATTGGCAAAAATATTGGTCAATATATTTGCAAATACAGAAGACAATTGTTTTGAACTAAATACAGTTTCATTCTAACATAAGTAGTAAAGGTTAACCAGGTTGGTCTCACAAGTGAATATACTTTGTCAGAGCCATCTTTACACAGAGTTTGGCCAACCCGGTTCGAGTTGGACACAATATGGCAACTACTGCTTTGTTGGGCAAGCACAAAACAAAAGAATATACGCCATGTTGTGACCCATTGAAACCAAGTTGGCCAAACTCTGTGTATAGATGGCTCTGTATCATGCATGAAGTCGGCACCCTCTTGGACAAGAGGATTGATAGGGTATGAAGCACTCACCTCGCATGATGTGCCTCTGTATCCTTTAGGGCATTTACATTCCTCTATCCCTAGTACTGTAAGACTGGTGGTGTCGTTGCCTCTAGGAGCTCCCACTTCCATGTACACACTGGATATCCTGTATGGATATAAACAAGCAAAACGTACTACTGATAGCTAAACAGAACTGTATCTCCTTTTGGTCATTAACGGGGACGGTACATTCCTCTTTTCCAAGCACTGTAGGAACAGTGGTGTCATTTGATATCATGTCAACAAGAAAAACCAGTTCATAATTTAGCAGAATGGCCATTGATATCAGGGAGAACAATTAATACTGATGAGACTACCCTAGGTAATCAAGAAATATTATTATTATTGTTTTACAGTGAGACCTTCCTTGGATACCATATTCATTTCTCTTGAACAGTGTTTTTTCATTGAAACCTGTACGAATATAAACCTGTCCATAAAGACCATCTGTATATTAACCTTCCATTCATAATAATAATAATCTAATAAACTGGTTTATGTAGCGCTTAATACGGAATACTCTAATCTCTAACCGCTTTACAGATATTATTACCCCGGCAATCAGATTCATTCACGCACAATGTGCACCATCTCCACTCCCTGGTGAGTATTCTTACCACATGGTCACCTTGAGGGCATATGGTAATTAATAACACAAAGGCTGTCATCATCCTACCAGGTCAGTCCCCATTTGTCTCCTTGGTATAAAGTTGCAAATGTAGATTAATGCCATAAAGACATTAGTGCCATGTCGGGGATCGAACCCACAACCTTTGCATTTCAAGTCAAGTGCTTAAATCACTCGGCTACAACACCTCTGCACATCATAGTAGTACATCTTAACTGTATTGCATGAACATTTATGTACCTTGAGGATATGGTCTGGTAGGTCTGAGCAGCAGGAACAAGAATCGCTTGAACATCTTGGAGGACCATCATGAACTCTTCCCTGGTAGGGGCGTCGCCGGTGCCTAGGTGAAGAAAATTGTACTGGAGAAGAGAAATAGAAGGCACTCTTTGTTAAAAAATAGAATTATCCAGACTCTCAAATGAATTTTGATATATCACCATCAACATTGCTTAAATTGTTGAACTATTTCAATTACTTTTTCCATCCTATTAGTATTTATTTATATATTCTCTCCTTCTATTCCCACAAAAATTGATGAACACACAAGTCAAGAATTGATTTGGGCAAGATATCTAATTCGATTCTATTTGGTGTAAGCTAGGTAGACATCATTTGGTTTTCAAGCTTTGATGTTAACCTGCTAAATACTAGGGCTGAGATGAATAGGACTGGGGTTAAAATGTATCTGAACAGTAACAACTACATCAATTGACACTGAAAAATCAATTTTCATGGAAAACATGATCCTTAAGCTTTCTAGTCAATTTTGGCTTTATACTTATTTTTCACATGTTACTCTAATGAGTGCATGGTCAGGAGCCTAAAAAAGCTATCAAGAAACACAACCTTTTGCATTATGAAATCTGTCACATAGTATTTTACAACTCCAGGGGAAATCAAAAATGTATTTGTCATTACCTCAAAGAGTTCCAGCTTTGGCCTAGACTTTCCATTGAGATTTGAGACCGGGATGACGAGAGAGTGGACCTCTCCTACCAGCATGATGTGAGGTAGATAAGGTCTGGCTTCAGACCAGCCGTCAACGTTCTTGGGCTCGGTGTAGTCTATCTTGTACTTGATCATACCTCCGTAAGCAGTTACCTGTCAAGAGAAAGAGGGGGGTATGATAATGATCATAATATGCTGTTCTTGGATTCCCAATACCACATTATAATCTAACATCTCTATGCATTTCTAAAGGACCTTATTATTACCCCAGCTTTAGCTCCGGCAACCATAGTGCTCAGTACATTCAAGGAAAGAATCCTACCACGTACCCACTTTCTACACCTGGGTCAAGTGTGGCAAATGTAGATGAATGTCTTGCTAAAGGACAGTGCCGCGGTGGGATTCGAGCCCCACATCTTCATTCTTCACAGTCCGGAGACTTATCCACTAGGCCAAGACATGTAAGACTCTTCCAACATCACCACAAGGATTTTAAGCAGCTGGGTTATATGCTTGAGTTTAAAGTAGAAAAGAGACAACACTATCCAAATATAAGGGAAATGGAAAGGACCATTAAACTGCATTGTATGTCAGGCTACATAACATCAACCTGAAACCTGACAAAAAGAATAACCTCCTCCTCCTCCTCATTCTTTGTATTCTTCTTCTAATTCTTCTCCCTCACCTTCCCCTTTTCCTTCTACTTTCTTCTTCACCTTCTTCCCTCCTTTCTACTTTTTCCCCATCCTACTTTTCTTATTCTCTTGTCTTTTATGCCTTTTCCTCTTTTCTTTTATTCCTTTTTTTTTTTGTCAGCATATCTCTGTTATGATTATCATCAGCGATGACCTCTTTCAGTCATAGACACAATACAATTTGGTGATACAACTTGATATAATTCAATTCACTTCAATCAAAATTATTGATTATAAATGCAAATAATTGAAGTGTATACAACACAAATCTCACCATGTTGCCCAGGAATACCGGAGGCAGGTTCCAGTACACGTCTCTGGTCCTCAGAGCCACCTGTGCAGCAGTGATGTTCACACCCCCTCCAGCTGAGTAGTGAGTTACACCAGTCTGTGTTCTTCTCAATCTGTTAGCATCACTGACAAACAGCTCACTAGCATCCTCCTCTGCCATTTCGATCTTGAAGAAAAGAATTTTTTTAAAGAAATTTATTTAATCAATCCATCAAATAGATCAATTTCATATACACACATCCTGCTTGTGATGCAGTCAGCTTCAGTGCACATTTCTGAGTCCCAAAAACAGAAACATCGTCATATTTATCATCTTCATTATTGTCATAAATATCATCATCATCATCATCATCATCATCATCGTCAACATAAGAATCATCCCTACCACAATTGCAAGGAAGGAAAGTGACTTCATACACTCAGCCTGTTAGTGATGAAGTCAGCCTGATACTCCAAAACAGAAGCAGTTTGTATGCCACCCTTCGATTTATTATCTTCATCAATATAAACACTATCATCACCAACCTCATTATAACCATCTCCGATCAGTTTCTCTATTTCCACCACCACCGTCATCATTGCCATCATCATCACCATCTCCACCACCATCTTCATTCCCATCATCATCTCCACCACCACCATCATCATCATCATCTCCACCACCACCATCATCATCACCATCTCCACCACCATCTTCATTCCCATCATCATCTCCACCACCATCGTCATCATCATTCCCATCATCATAATCATCTCCACCACTACCACCACCATCATCATCTCCAACACCACCATCATCATCATCTTCATTTCCTTCATCATCATCTCCACCACCATCGTCATCATTGTTTCGTCAAGCAGATTGACTTCATATACGTGCACATGTACACTCACCCTGCTTATGATGTAGTCAGCATGAGTGCACTTCTCTGAGACCCCGAGGCAGAAGCAATTTGTACAGTACATCATCATATTTATCGTCTTCATTATTAAAAACAAAATAATAACCATCATCATCGTCATCATCATCAACATCATCACTACCACAAGTGCAAGAAGGAAATTGACTTCATACACTCACCCTGCTTATGATGTAGTCAGCTTGATCGCACTTCTCTGAGACCCCGAAACAGAAGCAGCTGGTACAGCCGGAGGGTAGCTTGGGTTGAAGACTGAAGCTGCCTTTGGAACACTTACTGCATTTCTTTCCCTGGATGTTGGCCTAAAGGATGCCGAGTAAACAAGATTACAGTGCAATCCAAGATTCAAGTTTCAATGTCCATAATTATCCATAATAATACAGAAATTTGTTTCCACTTGGCGTTACATACATTATAACCATAGGAATAAACATGATATTGTATGCTACCGAGAACCAGAAGGGTGTTGAGCTATTGTTGAATCCATTCTTACTTAATCGTTTCTTTACTATGATAGTCTTTTCTTCCTGTTTTTTGTTTACCTTTGTGTCCGCTTGCTTTTTAGACGATACTTTGTCTGTTCTTTTCCTACGTATTTCATTCTCAATCATAATCCTCCTCTTTCTCCTACATGTACTTCGATCTGTTCTTCTTCTCCTCGATCACTTTCTCCCCTTCCCCCACTTCTACTTGCTTCCCTGCCCCTCCCCTCCTCCTCATTTGTTCTGTGTCCACTTATTCCCTTCCACTTTTCCTGTTACCCCTTTTTGTGTTCTCCTCCTCCTATCTTTTCTTCTTTCTACTCACTTTACACATGCAGTTGCCCTCCTCATTGCAATCACAGAGATCACCCCTGCAGGTAGATGGGTCCCGTCCTCTTCGACTGCAACGGCACTTGCGGCATTTTGGGTAACCATAGTAACCAAATCCACAGGAATTGCATTGCCTCCCTTCGTAGCTTTTATAGCACCTGTAAATTACAAATCATTGGCAGGGGTGTATTGTATTGATTTTTCAGTCTAATTGATACCAATTTTCATTTGTAACAGACATTCACTTGTAGGTGTACAATTATTACAGAATTATATTTTTTCATTCTTTTCTCACTCTCTCTCACTCTCTATCTCTCTCTTTTCAATATTAATCTGTAATTGCCTCCACACCCTTCCCTCTCCCTTCTCTCATTCTCTCTTTCATTCCATTTCTTAATCTCTACTCTCTCTCTATTTCTTTCCAATGCATGTACACCATACTTGTATTCGCCGTCATACCCCTCACCTTTGTTTCCGTTCTTATCTCTCTCTTTGTCTCTCTCTCTCTACTTCTATGTCTTTCTCTAGTTTTTAGCCTCTCTGTCTCTCTGCCTGCCTTTCTCTCTTGCTGTCTCTCGCTCTCTTTATCTTTCTCTCTCTTTTCTCTTCTCTCTCTCTTCCTACTATGATATACTTGATGACTAACCTGCACTGTCCTGTAATAAGATCACACTGCTGACTTGATGATCCTACATCACTACAGTTACATGGCTGAGGGTGAAACATAAAGTGTACATGATAAAACCTTTAATTTTGTATATACCAAAAAAAAGGTAGTTGCAAATGAATAAAGACATCTTCAAAAACAAAAATTATTAACTCGCATTTATGATTAGATTGCATGAAAATGTTTTTTTTGTATACATTACACCACAAAATAATCTTCAAATCTTTGTTTAATTGCTAATCAAAATATCCCCAAAAAACATTTTATTCTGTTGTCTTTTTTTGCTATCTACAAAGGAAAAAAACAAAACTTTATAATAGTTTCTATGAACTCAAACTCTTTAAAATTTCAAAATAAAGTTTTTGGAATCATAAAGAAAAATACAACACAAGAGCCCTTTTCATAAACATGCATTGTATCAGAAAAAAGTTACAGAGATTGATATGACTGAACTAAAAGTTTCTGATTGGCTGTGAGCATATTAGTTACAAAATTGATGCAGCTGTATTACAAATGAGATCTATATAGAAACAGGAAATAGGACTGACCTTACAACCAAACACAGAGTTATATCCCCATGTCTCAGGAGCACAGGAGTCACACCGCTGACCAATGACGTTGGCTGGACAACCACACTGACCAGTCAAAGAATCACATAGACCTCCAGACTGCTCACATTCACAGGCTATGGGTAAAGAAAAGAGGAATATATATCAGTTTTAGGAATACATGTACATGTAAATCTGCTGCAGGTGCATGTATTTATCCACAAGTACTCCAGGAATATATATATACTTCAAGGATTAAATCTACTTCAGAAACTTATCTACATATACATGTACTTCAGGAAAATAACTGCTTCAGAAATAGATCAACTTCAGGAATATATCTGCTTCAAGAATCTATTTTGCCTACAATTTAATACCATTTGTTGCAACATACATGTAAGTCAATCTTTCAAAATGTACTTTATTGCATTGGGGTACAAAAAAAGAAGATGTAAAAGAAGTTCTGGCATGGACGCCCAAAACAACAAAGGGCTGACCATTTCGCTCCTTTAAAATCTCTGTCCTACACTTATTAGGTACAATTTGATCAAAGGATGTGAATCTCAGAATCACTAAATCTCTCATTCAAATCCTTATCATCACTTACATTGGCAACCGTTCTCTCCAAAGTTCCAGAAACCTGCCATACACTGGTCACAGAGCCGGCCAGATACACCTAGCTTGCAACTGCACTGTCCCGTGATGACATCACAGGTATCGTCCAATGAGCCAGTAGGATGGCAGTCACATGACTGGCAACCCCTGGTGCTTAGGTTGAAGTGTCCAGGCTAGAAAAAGAGAGATGGAATAACTTTGTTTAACCTTGACAGTACCACAAGTTTACAAACAAGTAAGTAACATATTTCTGTGATCTTAATTTAGTATATTGTAACTTGTTTTGGTACATAATTGAAATGTAAATTCATATTTCATGAATTGGATCGAGCAAAAGAAAGACATTATTTCCCCTATTCAAAAATATTATATGAAACCTCAAAATTTGGGTAACAGTGAAAGGGCTAACCTTGGACTAAATAGAAATAAGGAATCTCATTTTATGGCATAATGTGTGAATATATATGTATATATATATATATACATATCATTTGGTCTTGAAAGCTAAATCACAAGAAGTATTAATACAAAAAATGGATATGCAAATATATTGCATTGTCTTTTTTGATGAAATTTTCTTTATGCCATAATCGATTCAGAATGTGGACTTTTGCACTGATTCTAGTATACATGCATGTAGCAACAGCAAAAGCTTGAAAATTTAGCAACAAATAGGCAACTCCAAAATAATCATTCCCCCTTGCAAACTCAATTTGTTAGCTGCACTTTCCTGTAATGTTTATTTCTTACTGTATTTCATAAAAAATGCACAAGCAAATGTACAACTCCATGTAGCTGTTCTTATCCAACTGTCAATTTTTTTTTAATGTAAAGCAAAATTGTTGACAACCAGATCACATTCCCTCGATAACACATCACCTAAATCCCTGGCCTAAATATTGAAATTCCAAACGACACCGTAGATGAAGTGAATCGGACAAAAATAACAAGAAATTAAATTAAATCCAGCGCTACCAGAGACCCAGGCACACCCCATCAGGGGTATCTGATTCAGGGTAACATGGATTATATGTAGGGGGTCTACAAACTTACCGAGCAGGTGTCGCATTGCCGACCTGTGACATTTGACCTGCACTGACATGACCCTGTGACCTCGTCGCACTGAGGGTAAAGGGAACCTGCCTCGTGACACTGGCATGCTGGAGGAAAGGAAATAAGAATTTGGAAACAGGATGAGAGATGTTTATACAAATTGGTATGTCAGGGCTGCTTATCAATATCTCCACGTACAGAAATTATAATCATAATACATCACTTCAAAAACAAAATGGATATCCATATCCCCTTCCCATTAGATTTTCTCTTTTCATTTCAGTTGATCATTAAATGCTTCAAAAAGAAGCATAAAAGAAGCATGCAACTGTGTCCTGAGTACAAACAAAATATTTACTATCTCATACTTTCCTTCTCTTCTATATCACAGAATATTTTATTACTTCATTATTATCAGGAGCAGATGAACATAGGTCGAAATATTGACATTGCTAAATATTCATGTCAGTTGTTTTCATCTATGTTTGTGAACTAGTGAGAAGAAAATCTATGAACTAGTTTCCTTTTGGCTATCCTCAATAACTAATTAGTAATATTTCTTTGTTTCTAAACATTTCACAAGCATTTCCTTGCCTGGAGATAAAATAAAAGGTAAAGGTAAGTCCAAGAAGAATCCATAAACAATAAATATTGCTTAGTTTAATTTTCCCAACTAACCTTGGCAGGTCCTCTGGATGGCATCCCCGTAGAAGCCGAGGGCGCACCTCTGACAGTGGTCCCCGACGGACCCTTCTCTGCAGAGGAGACACGCCCCTGTGTAGGTATCGCAGCTGCCCGGTGAAGAGGTGTCAAGGTTACCGTTACAGTTGAGCGAGCAGGGCCTACAGGCTAGGCCGGTGGTCATGGGGTCGCCATAGAAACCATCCACACATCTGGGTGAAGTAAAAAAAAATTGGAAATTATCAAAACAGTATTCAAACCAACAAATATACAAGCAAGAAAAAACATGTACATGTACTTTAAAATAGATTGAGAAATCCATCTCATCTTGTTGTATGTAACATGAAAGACATACACTTATTTGTATCTGTACACAAAACCCCTCCAAAATGTAAAATTACACCAAACAGAATATATATATTGTGGAAATAGAGAGACACAGTCAGCTTTAGTGTTGTTCCTTCAAAAATATTATCACTACTAAGGCAAACATAACTTCAGATTGGCTTGTTGAAAAAATAATTAACGTAAATTAAATCATTTCATGAAGGTTAGTATCTCAAAATATTGATTTAAGAAAGCTTTTAGTCTTTAGAAACAAGAGAGTAAAGTCAATGGCAGCATTAAACTCTGCAACAATTTATAGGACAAAAAGTCTGAGAAACAAGTTCTCTTACTTATCACATCTCGGTCCTCCATGGCCAGTAGCACACTGATTACAAACAAACCCATATCGATCATCAGCTATACAGGTAGGGCTGAAACTAAACACAAAGAGAACATACACCGATCATAAATGATGTAAAATATTTTATTGTGTCATGAAATAAAGTTAATATTTTACCTACTTTTATTACCTACTCTTTATCATATGAAAAATTAGAAACATCAGAATTAAGATGAGGAGTTAATGTTCACTACAATATGACAGATACAATTCCATTTGTATCATGGCACAAATACATGTAACTCATAAAACCATTGATATCACAATAAGGAGAAGAGCAATTCAGATCCCCCCCCCCCCACCTTCACTGTCACAAAATGCACTGCAACAATGAATACAGAAACTTATATAGAAATAGCTTGACAGATAATCTACAGGTTATGAAACTCATATTTTTAAATAACATTTTCAGTTTTGTAGATTCTACAGTCCATGTACTCATATACACTGAGATGTGCTCAGGCTCTTGGCCAGGCTTGGGGCCAGCCTCGGGGCTAGCTCCAGCTTCGAGTAACATGGTCCAAGACCCGTCTACAGTATGACTCCTCACCTTGATCCCTGGTCCTCCCTGGGGCAAGCACAGGGCTGGCAGGCATCAGCTAGACCGGATGTTGCATCACCATAGAAACCAGGCAAGCAGGACTCACAGTGAGGTCCATATGTGTTGTGATCACATTGCTGGAGGAAAAAAAAGCAGACAGTGGAAATGTATATGAACACCAACAAATTGGAAATGTCTCCATGATCAATTAATTGTTACACCAACAATATTTTAAAACTCTTTAGAACACCTTGTAACCTAAACAGAATGCTACAGACAACTTTTATTTACCTGCTGAAAAATACATTTGACATTTGACAATACAGACAGTTGGTAAAGGTACAATTTCATTGTGAATTTCCGGTTTATCCTATCATTATAATGTTATTCCCAACTTCTGTCTATAAAATACATGAAATGTTTCCTGAGATGTCTTACAACTTTATGTTGAATTACTTCAACTTTCTATTGATAATTTTTTTTAAATGTTTAAAACACATCTGTGTAATATTACTCCTATAGAATGCAAAATACAAGGACACCCTCTGTGTTTTTGCATTTTTTTCTCTGTCAAGACTCTCACATGCTTCGTCTTCCATCAATCAAATCCATCCTTTTTCTTTCCGACTTATAACATAAATTCATATATCTTCTTCTTTTTTTTGTGCAATTGATCTTGAAAAGTATCATGAGAAGGACAGCAAGTAACTTACTGAGCATTCTCCCATGTAAGGATCGCATTCCGGGGAATGGTTGTTACAGTCGCACCTTTCACAAACCCCACCGTAGAGGGCGTTGTTCACACGCCGGTATCCGTACTCGCATGACTGACAAATGGAAAAAAGATAAGTAGCAACCATGAGTAATCATCACCTAGACATTATGTTGTATATTTCTTTGTCTTCTAAAAGGAGAGGGAATACAACATAATATACCGGTACTGTGAAATAAAGACAAAGATACTTTTTTTTGTTCAAAGGTACATGTGAAACTAATTTTCTGAATGGTACGAAGTACAAAGAGAGCAGTGCTTGCCATCCTGATTTCAGTTCAGAACATCTCACAAATTCATATTCTCATATTGCCTAATTTGGGTCATTCTTATGGTTCATGCATAGAGTTTTATCAGAATCTGTATCCTTTCAAGGCCTGTCTTGTCCATCAATTTGTATTGCAGATTAACTGTATTAGAAATGTGAAACTTGTGAAACAAAAAAAGTGATCACATAAAAGCATCTGCATTATAAACAAAGGAATAGGAGTAAGATAGAATATACAAAAATGACAGAACAATTACTTACATGCAGAATTAAACACAGACTTTATTAGATCATTTTTAAACACTTCAACTGATCTGCTGTTACGAATCTCTCTAGGGAGAGCATTCCAGAGCGATGGCCCTGCATGAGCAAGGGTTCAGAAAAGATTGATCTTACCTCACATGAAAAACCCTCATAGGTTGGTGGACATTCACATTGCTCTACACTGGCTAGGAACGATGCAGTCACCGCTGTCCTCTGGACCTCCTCAAGAACAACATTCTTTAACCTGCACATTTTGAAAACAATGACATTGTATCAATTTGTGTGTTAAAATGAATGGGATAGTAGTCCAGCACCTTTTGTCACGATGACATTACCAATTCATCAAATTTGAATTGCTCATATCTATAGTGATTACAGCTTTCAAATCTTATAACTTTCTGATTTTGTTGTCTGATTTAATTCAAACTTTCACAAGTCTGCATCTCTGATTTGTATGTTTTCTCTTAGAGTAGTTGTCTGTTGGATTTACCTATAATGCTGCACTCTATATGAAGGGGTAGATGGAGGGTAAAGTCTGGAACAAAAACTCCCATCAGAGGTCAACATTTTTGAAAGGTAAATCACATGTCAGTTCATGTAAAAAAGGATTCACAATGTGCACCCCCCCCCCTCCCACTTTTCCACTAAGATCCACATTGGCATGTACATGTTTACAAATTATATGTCAAACATGAATCCTTGATAGAATACCAATCTGTTTCCTTGCTTGTGATAAATATACATAAATCTGCATAAATGTGCTAAAAAGCTAGATTATTTTTGAAGAAGCAGATGATAAACGATAACAAATAAATGAGTGAAGATGAGGAAGCATACATATCCAGATATACCATTATTTCAATGTCATTTATTACCTTGATTCTCTTGGCTCTTTGCTTCCAACAAATGAACATAAATCTATATAAATGTGCTGACAAGCTAGATTAGTTTTGAAGAAATGGATTGTTACTGATAAAAATGAATGAGTGAAGATGAGGAAATCGACATATCCAGATATAACATTATTTCAATTTAAGTTCTTACCTTGATTCTATTGGTCTAGTATTATATGAAGCCCTGATCAGCAGCGCTCTCACATCAGACAAGACCCTCATGAACTCCTCTGGTGTTGCCCTACGACCCATGACCCCGGCCGAGAGGTCAACATCAGGGGTCAGGACGAACCAATTCGTAGCAGCCATCTGGATCCTGGCTGTCCGCTCCTCCTCGGGACGTATGTACAAGAAGCTCTGGTAGAGACGCAGACGGTCACCCTGGAAAAAATATATAATGGTATTATGCGTTACACTTGAGAAACAAGAGTAATATTCACAGTATGGTGACACTGAATAATCAAAGGGTTTACCCTAATGGTTGGAGCTGGGAGCAGCTCCTGCAAAAAACATGTTCAATGGATCGTTTGGATTTTCTTTTGATATATTGTGTGCCCTTCTATTTTAGCATTTCCTTTCACTAAATGCACTTTTGAACATCATTTATAATGATTTGTTGAATAATATGAAATTCAATACTACATGTGATTGGAATCAAGATTTCAAGATTTGCCTGATAGGTATTGCTAAGAGTTCTCAACTTAAAGTCTGCCAGAATGACTGACTTGCTTGCCCTGGAGCTATATATCATGAACACACACAATCATTGTACTGCTTGTCAGGCAGAAGGGCTTGAACATTTCAGTAAAAATCTATTCCAATTGTAAAACCTTTCTTTGACTGCATCAACAATGTATACTACACATTTCAGTCCATATCTCGTCCAAATTGTTCACGATGATATCACCAATTAAGCATCTTAACCTGTTGACTGCTGAATTCTCTTATTCCCAAAGGCTTTATACAAGGACCACCAGGTTCCACCAGGCAATGGATAATAAATTTCTAACATTTATCAATATTAATAATCTGAATTTATATAGCGCTTCATACAAAATATCTTCTCTAGGCGTTTTACAGATATTATTACCCCAGTCATCAGATTCATCCACGCACAATGTGCACCATCTCCATTCTCTGGGGAGTATTCCTACCATATGGGGACATACAGTGTATGGCAATTACTTACACAAAGGCTTTCGTCATCCTACCACCTCCTCATTTCTCTCCTGGGTATGGAGTTTCAAATGTAGATTAATGCCTTGCCAAGGGACAAAAAGTGCCGTGTCGGCACCCAAAAAAGTGCATTTGCCCCCTTCTCTCTAGGCATGCATATAACAGTATACTTACACAATCCTGTGAAAGTAAAAGAATTCATGACATACCTCGATGACGATGTCTGCATCTCTGGTTGGTTGTTGGTATACGTCCCCTCTCTGAATGCTGTAACTCACAGTGAATGTCAGGTAACCTCCATGAGATGATAGCTGGAAAATAAACAAGGACAAGTCAGACATTTATTGGCATTTTTTTAAAGGAACTTAATAAACAGCATAGCTTATAGAGTTTGACTTCCTCAAAAGCATTTTGACACAGTGTCATTCATAATCAGGTAGAAGAATAATAATTAAAAGAAAAGAAATAAGTACCAAGTATAGCGAAGTATACAGACAAAAACAATGAAATGATATGGATGATGGATGTAAGAAAAAGAAAAATAGAAAGAGAAGGTAAAGAATGGGAGTCAGAAGAATGAGAAGATAGAAGAGGAAGTTTTAGAATGGAATGAATGATACACGTCATAGGGTAAAGCAGTAACCAAACAGACCTACCTTGTTACCAAGATACTCTCTGGAAGCCAACCAATAATAGATGCCATCCCCCAGGTCTTCCAGCGCCTTGTAATGGTTGATAGAGAGCATGTCCACGCCCGTGGTATCAGGGAAGGCATAGGATGAACGCTCTACGTTAGTCACAAACCATCCCGTCAGCGTGGTTACCTAGATAGAATGAACATTAAAGTAGACATTAATTGATTTTAAATATTGATTTCATTTGTACCCTTGTATATTAAAGGGAAGGTTAAATCGAACAAGGTTATCAAAATTTCCTGCGGAAACATTCAAAGTATGGTAAGGATTATTATCAATTTTAAAACAGTAAAAAAAAAAGCCCCACTTTCGCACTTGAAGAGCTCTCCGACCACTGCAGGGATTTGTGACGTCAATCGAAAGAATCATAAAATAGTCATTATACTATCTTTGTTACAAACCTGTTCGATTCCCCAGGGTACACTGGTACATTCAGTAGTGATGCCAAAGCAGTAGCACTCCCCACATCCATCAGAGTTATCACCTGCGAGGTTGAAGAACCCTCTCTTACACACGTCACAGTTAGATCCTTCCACATTAGGCTACGAGGAGAGAGGAGATGAAATGACAAATATAAAATGCCAGTAAAAATCGATCAGAGGGCCTGAAAATCACCTAGAATGAGCTATTTTGTACACACAACAAAGCCTTTCTATGACCTGAAAGTAAATCGCCAGGGCCTAAATTCAGGCTTTTGTCTGAAAACTGGCATCCCTGGTCTATGAAATGATTGAAGAATGTCATAGTCGAAATTGTCTTTAAAAGTCATCTTTGGATAACATGAAAAGTAGCATTCACTTCTGACAGATGGATTGGTCAGGTTCTACAATGCATTTTCCTTTTTTTTTTACAGTGAGGCAGACAAGTTGGCAACTATAGACATGTGGTCTTCACGGAGAAGTGGTCCTCAATGGTGTATTGCTGTTTGATCTACAACCAGTTTGTGTTCTATTCATATGGCCTAATAATCATTTAATCATAAATAATAATAACCATCAGATAATTATTAGACCTTATGGATGATAGACAAAATGGGCATTATACAAACTGGCAATTAAACCGACTGGAAATTAGACTTAATAAGCAATAGACCAAAATGTTACTGTAAAAGTAGAAATATTCACGGTAAATTTAATTTTGGGCGGGTTTCGCTCTAAGATTGGCAAGCCCGAATTTCAGAACTCGCGAAAATATAAGCATGATTTCTTATGCGTGCTTTGAACGGGCTGAATTGCGTGCAGCGCAAATTTAAGAACCATCAAATATGTTTTGGGGTCGCTCAGAGCGAAAAATTAATCACGCAAAAATAACAGCGTTTACAGTAGTAGACTGATTGGAGATTAGGCCAAATAGAAATTAGACCAAATGGCAGTCAGACAGACAGACACACAGACGTGCACCTCACCTTGCATACACATGGCCCTTCACATGGGTCTTCATTAGAACTGCCAGCATTGCTGCACAGACACTTCTCACAGTCCGGGTAACCACGGTAACCACGAGCGCACCTGTCGCAGCTTGGGCCAGCGTAGCCCTCCTTACAGAAACAGTCCCCTGGATTCTAGTGTAGAGGAGAAGGATAAACAAAACAAAGCAATTACTGAGAGGTTATGAAGCCATTAAAGGAAAACTTGGACAATGGTCTTGCAATTTGAAAGTAAATGAAAGAAACCATCTAAATGTAAAAGTTATTCTAAATGGATGATTATGTACTAAATAGAAACAATAGTGGATAGAATGCAAAAACCCAATTGACAAATTTCTGAACCTTAACAATATACTTTTATTGTGTATTATGAGGCTTTGGAATCTTAAAAATCATCATGAATTGACTAAACACTTCAAACAATGAAATGTACTGCACACAGACGTGCGTACATGGGGACTACATTTTATGTGGAACCAGAATTTAGTCCACAGTTGAAAACAAATCCTCGTCCTATCAGAAACATAACAGCACTGTATATAAAGAGCAATGCTTTTTGTGGAACATTTTCAGTATTATATTCTTTCCCATGGGAAAAGGGGGAAAAGGGGGAAAAGAAATCTTATACCATCACCAGAACATACCATCAACAAACGCTCTTTAAATCAAATAAAATGTGGACAAAATGTGCAGCTCCACAGGGAATAGTTAATGTGATTGCCAATAATCATTCTGAGTATTAGTTTAGTTTTAATAGAAGAATTGAATGTGGAGGGTTAAATGTTAATAACGTCATTTCAGGAAATTAGAATTTGGACAGAAAGCAATTGCTTTTAATTCAAAGTTCTCTGACTCTTCCTCTGTACTTTCCGATCATTTTCCTTCCTCTTCCTTTTAATTTTCCATTTTTCATCCTCTATGTTCCTTCCTACTCACTTCTTTGCATCTTGATTGTATTTGAGTTAAAGGTAAAGACCAGTATTGGAAACGCCCCAATTTCAAAAAATGAAATGGAAGCTCTCATTACCAATCATGTGAAAGAATATGTTTTGACTAATACATGATGATAAAAAATTTGCTGAAAAACCGCCTACTAATTTATATATTTGGAAAATTTGTTTCTCTCATGGTCTGTGAGAGATATAGGGTAGTCCCATATACATCTTTCTGTGTATAGTGCTTGCAACTTTACGAAGAATGGGCCAAATTTCTTATCATTTTGATAATTCCAGAACCTTGCAGATGCTAGATGCTGCTAGATGATCAACCTTTTCTGATTGACTCCACAACGTTTCTTTCACAATGCAATCGCATGACCATAACTGGTCTTTACCTTTAAAAATAATAATAATCATATTGGAATTGGTACAGTTGTTTGTACCGGAAGTTATTTCACTTATATGCAGCCTTTCGTACGTTTAATGTTATGGAAAACAAATGAACTAATGAACTTCTTCTTTTTTTTAATTATTAACAAAACAGATTTATACTCGCTCTCCTGTTTTTTCTGATATATTTTTTTTTCCTTTTCGTCCATATTCAGCTCAAACATTCAATCTCTCTTTTAGGGAGTTTACTATGTTAATTCTTTCTTGAGGAGTCCCTCTCAAAAAGCTTCCCAAAGAATCTAAACATTCATAAACTTACCATATCATTGACTTGGCTCCGCTCGTCCTTCACACAGTTGTTGTTAGAATCTGGCTGTGTACCGATGGCACTGCATCTGCACTCTGTAACATTGTAACAAGAAGAATTGGAAAATATAAGTTTGATTCTTCAGACAGTGACAGTCAAGATTTGATAATAAACTACAGTAAATGTACATCATTGTACACATACAGTATATAAATCCAAGTAATATTGCTTATATGCAAATTGAACCCCCTCCAACACACACACACACAATCATCTCAAATGTGTGAAATGTGTCTGAAGGGCTTAATATGTACTTTTGAATGAACTGCACAGAAAGCACTACATTTATTGAACTCATTTCAGACTGCATAAGCTGACAACATACACTTTATCTTGATTGCTGGAACCAGATTCCACTGAAAAGAGGGGAAATTCAGAACTTCAGGCATTTTCTAATCTGATTTTGTTTGAATGTACTTAATATGTCATTGAAGATACATGTACATCAAACTGGAACTAATTTCATTCCAATAATTTCATTCAGGTTCTACATAAAAGCAAATCAATTATCAAGTTCATTGAATAAAGGACTCTTTCATAACATCCTTACCTCTACATGGCGAGGGATCAGTAGGCTCCACCCCTAGAGGGCGGTAGAATCCATCTCGGCATGTCTGGCAGTTGAGTCCATCCGTGTTGTCGCGGCAAGCTACACAAACTCCTCCCCCATTGTAGTTCCCATCTTCATCTATGCTGAGGCTCTGGGCGTCGGCCTTGGCGTCATAGTAACAGTCATCAGCGTGCCCATGACAATTACAAGCTGGAACGAAAAATGGAATTTCAATTACATGTTTGATTCTTATAATGTTATGTGGGAAGGTATTAGCATCAAAGAAAGTCACAAGACTCTCTCTTATCAATAACATTAAATTTCAGGTGAAAAGTGACAACACAAACATGAAAACATGGCTCTTCTCCACATTGATGAGAATGCCCTGTATCAACCCCCCCCCCACAACAACAACAACAACAACAACTTCCAGAAGACAGAAATCTATTCATACCCGATCAATTAACAACTGGAACGGGCTACCCCAATCGACAGTCCAAGCGCCATCTATTAACAGCTTCAAATTTGAACTAGAAAAGCATTGGCATCACCATCCTCTCAAATATAACCCTTATCAACGTAATAATGCTGTGATTGTCAAGATGCGCTCATAAGCTGATGCTTCAAGCCTCAACAAACAAGATGGTACAAGATGGAAGAAGAGTGTTAAAAGAGTCATACTCTTGATATACAAAGTAGTAATGTACATAATTCTTGGAGATTGGCAAACAGATATTTACTACCTAAATATGAGATCTTATTCAAGTTTGAAGCAGAGGCATTTTGAGATGCTGCAACTGGTAAATGTAGTTAAGTTTTCTCAATAAAAGGGCTCAAGTCTGATTTGAATTGTACACCCAAAAGAAAGAGAATTGTACTCAAAAGTACATCGCATCAAACATTTCAGAGGAATTGGCATTCTTAGGAAAACATTATTCATTACAATACTTACGTCTACAGCAATTGCCAAAGGAGGATTGAACCTCAAAAGAAGTACACTTGCATTGAAGATTTTAGAGGAATATTAAGGGGAAAATGAGGCTTTTTAAATACTTACGTCTACAGCTATTGCCAAAGTCAGTATTGCCTGGTCGCCATGGAAATTGCTGAAAACCCCTGCAGCATTGGTTACATTGATCACCGCAGGTATTATGCTCACATATACATTTCAGTGCCTGAGAAAACAAGGAGTAGAATGAGATAATGGAATTAATTAGACACAATAATAGAACATTAAACAATGGCAAACAACATTAATTTGTTAAAGTGTTCATACAGTGCATATGTTACTAACATTACAAGCAACATCACAAGAAATACAGTAGGCTTGCGGGTGCACCATGTGAGAGAGAGGGAGGATTGAGAAGTCCTGAAAAGGACTCTCGGTAATCTGTCTTGAGGGTGTGTAGTCCTAAAAAGGACAGTTGGTGTAGTCTTGAAAAAGACTGTTGGTTATCTTTCTTTCTACACACCCTCAAGAAAGATTACCAAGAAAGATTTTCATTTTCTTCCATTTGTATGCATTTCTTGGAAGACTGTTTCCTCAAGATTTGACTGCTCTCATCATCATTTTTAATGTTATTATATTTAGTTTTGTTTGTTCCCCTATTGCTATTCATGTAATGTTACAGGTTAAACCCATCAACCTCAAGCCCATGACTTCAGTGTGACAGACCCTTTATATCTTTTATATGTATCTACATGTACATTCACATGATTTTTTTTAAACCCTGAATTAGATTAAATTAAATAACACTGTACAAGACATTTCCATCTTTAATCCAGTCTATATTAAGGTCAAACTACATGTAGCAAAAAATTCAAGACAAGTTTCCAAAACTTCTGCTTCAGAAGCACAACACTCATCCATCACTCAGTATTACTCTCAACATCCATTTACCAACTGCAACACATAACAACATCAGCTGAAGAACTCTTCTCACAACAGAAATATGAGATATGTATTTATCACTAAGGTCAATGTTATTTTGACCCTGAGAAATCATCCATCGATCGTCAGCAAGCCGTAACTCTGGGGGTCCCCCTGATTAACTTCTGCCGCCTTGCAAATTACTAAAACGATACACATACTCATTGCATCCCTTATCCCATGTCATGCATGTCAGCGGCAGATAGCACATTTGGGATGACCTCTGACCTTTGAGGACACCCTCTGTTGACCCTGGGACATTCCAAGGAATGCAGTCATATTGAATAATTGGTGGATTTCTTGCCACTGTTTGTGAACTTGCCAGGTTCAATCTCAAGGACAGATCGCTACAAGGGGCCACACCCCCAAAGGCAAATAGTATATATATATTTCAAGGTGAATAGTGAATAGTAATCACTATTCCATGATGCATGTCTGGGACATGGAGAGAAGGTGTTAAAGGTGGCGCTTTAACCCTTTTGGGACCAGAACATTTGTTTCTGCAACTGGAAGACTTGTGCACATGAAGCCTACATGTACGATTTGGGTACAAAACGCTGCGCCAGGTTTAGTCGATACACACTTGGTTCACAAGAAGAAGGAAGAAAAAAAAGGAAATATAAATGTAGAAGGTACTTTTAAAAGTTCCTTCACCGTCCTTGTGAGTCATCCTACTAAACTACAAAAGTAATTTTGAGAGCCTTAAATCTTTCTTAAAGTATACAAGTTAAAACCCTTTTGAGTCTCAACGGTTCAATCCACTTACATTACTTGCCCCCACAATGCAGAGTTACATATCTGCTGCATAAGGTATAATATAACACATGAACTAAAAACATCCTGCAAATATGTGTGTTACTCTCCAACTTTGATGAAGCAGTTAGATACAAGTAGTGTGACTTCATTCTTACTTATGGCCGCTCCAGACCAACTCAGAAATAGTTTGAAGATGAACAGCGACAAATGGTCAAATTGTTGACCATGCTGGTACAAAGAATCTCATTCTCAGAAAGAGAAACTGCTGGATAGGTGATTTTTCAAATAAATCACTCTTCTGGGAGTGATTGAAAACCAATCTTCGAAAAAAGTGATAACCTTGGAATTGAGATAAAGCACACCCTCAAACTGTACCCTAAAAAGTGATTTTTCTCTAGAGATAAACAGTTTGGGAACTATTAGAAGTTTGATTGATAGAATTTATTTTTGAGAACTTTTAGAGAGAGGAGACCAAATGAAAAATGGGATGCCTACAGTGAAATGAAGAGTGTCTCCATGTTCTCTGTCTCTCCCTCATATTTAACCCAAAAAATCTGTCTATAGTGTAAAATATATCAGCCCTGTCTCTTTTCTTTTAATCCTTTCTTTCTCATTCTCTTCTGTCAAAATCTCTCTCTCTCTTTCTCTCTCTCTCTCTCTCTCTCTCCCACACACTTACACACACTCCTCTTTTTGTCTCTCTATCTCTCTCTCTCTCTCCCTCCCTCTTTCTTTCTTTCTGACTTTCTCTCCATCTGATCTATCTATCTCACTGCTTTCCAAATAAATCTTTGAAGCATCTTTAAGATTATGAAGAACTTTCTATCCACAACTTTAAATAATCTAAAATAAAAAATCAGAATCAACAAAATCTGAAGAAATATATTTGCAGCTTTATACCAAAGCTGCAAAATGACCATGCCATTCTTTACCATACATAATGTAGATCTTTCAACCAAGGAGTTACCACAGAGTTTCTGTGGTAACATGGTACCATACAGTATACTTACCAGATCATTAGGACCAGCAGAAGGATTCAACACACACTGCTCTGCATGGCCGAAACATATACACTGCCCTCCTATGGATATATCTTTGATGGAATAATAGTACTGAAAAACAAGAAAAATAAAACATTTCCATAAATTTGTCATTTTCAACAGGATGCATCACTTATTGCTACTTATCTGTCTTACAAAGTATATTTTTTTTCTTTCATTCTATAATGAACACATTGCTTTATTCTTTCAATGTTCAAATTAAGATACAAAGGAAAAGTGTCCCCTTAATTAGCATGAATGCAAAATCCCAAACAAACGATTTTCTTTTTTAATGGCAAAATTGTCATTTCAATTTCAGGTAACACAAAATTGCATTATCTCTCACATCAATTTCAATTTAATTTCAATTCTAGGTGGAAGTGGGGGCGCGGTGGCTCAGTGGTAGAGCAGTGGTCTCGTAACCGGGAGATCCCGGGTTCGAAACCAAGTCAATGTGCTTAATCCTCACTACCAAGTCCCTTAGAGAGGACTTTAAGTGTTCGGTCCCCTGGCTTTCGTGCTTTCTTACCAGTAAGGTAAAATAATCATTGACCATCAAAAAATGAAGCTCATCGTTATCTCACCCTTCTTGATACAATGGTATCAACGTATCTAATCCCTCTACTGTTAAAGGTCATGAGGTCAGCATGTAATGTCCGGATCTGTTGAAGGCGGAGTCTGATGAAGCGGGCTGAAGTGAAATCCTGCAAGGAAAAATATGAATAGTAACAGAAATATACAATTATCACATCAAGTAATACAGAAAAATTTATACTACACGTCTAAATGTTAAGAAGCTTTAAAAAAAATAGTAACTCATGCCTCTGGTACCATCTTTGGTGGGTGGAGGCATAACAAACAAATTAACCAAAACAAATTGTGCAAAATCCTTAAATTAGCATCTCTTTGTGAGGCAGAGAGATCATTCCATCTATGATAGATGGAAGAAAAAAATCATAAACTAGCTTCGGTGGGTGGAGGCATAACAAACAAATTAACAAAACAAAAATTGTTGTGCAAAATCAGCATCTCTTTGTGAAGCAGAGGGATCATACACTAGTTATTTAAATTAGCCTTTTGGGTATACTGGTAGTTTGCAGCTAAAATCTTTCTTTAAAACACAATATAATTTGTCACAAATTGTGTAAACTTGCATTTATACCATTACGCTGTGGTGAGGCAATGCCATTAAATTGTTCTAATAATTATCAACACGAGCCATGAAGTACTCAATTCTCTGAACAAAATGATAGATAACCATACTTTTTTATAGCGAGTGTTAAATCAGTGGACTCTAAAACATGACAAAGGAGAGGAAGCATGTGGATTTTTATGTACTTAATAAATGAATTTTAGAATGTTCAATGATTAAAGGGGTATCATTATGATAGATGACAACATAATTGCAAGTAATAAATATTAACTTCACTCAAGCATGCTACTTGTTTGCACTATGAATCTGAGCTAGAGCGATCTACACGTAATTTCCCATTTTTATTTTACGAGTTCAATATTTTTACAAGCTGAATAGCAACTGCATTGATCCACGGAACCACAAATGAGGGTGTTATCCTAAATGGATATTATCACCAAATTAGCCGCGTTTTTCTCCCTCTCTAAAGATCTAAAAACACAAATGGAGGATTAAGTATGAAAGGGAATCAGATTTACAGAAAACCACTCAATACCAAGTTTCTCATTGGTTTGGGGACCACAGGACAGATCTGAATTGGATAATATGATTTCATAAAGCGGCCAGGACATCATTACACCTCTTAGGTCAACTAGAGAAACCCATCTGCTTTTGTCCTCTCAAACCGGAGAGCAAATAATTGCAGAGAGCCTTTGCTCAAATCTTATCCCTCATTACAAAAAAAAACATCCCTGTTCAAACAGAAGATCTGTTCACATCAATTCCAGATTCATGACCTGAACAACAACTCTTAATAACCCTCTTTTCAGATTAATTGATGTACATAATATTGCACTGAAATAAGCATTAAAAGGTATCTTAAAGATAAGCTACTTAATAGCACTTAAACTTCGACGGTAATGGCAGAGAATTGTCTAAAAAGTAGGATCTATCCATAGATGTTTTCCACAAAAAAAAGGTGAGCAGCTAGCACTTTTAAGGGGGCTCTGTACAGAAAATACTGACATTTCAAAATCCATATCAATTATACGCTGTAAACCAGATGAGCATCAAATGAAATTAAACATATAGTATAGTGCTGGTTCTCTGCAGATACATCAATGTGTAATGTCGCAGCATTTTGGAGAAGAGTGACCCCTCCCCCCCCCCCCTCCCTCCCCCTCTCATTAAGACCACTCACACAAATCTGTAACAATTAAACCTTAATCTTGGCATAATGGGAACACATCATCTTCAAAGGGGGAACCTCCGTCAACAGAGTGAGATGGGGATGAAAAGAGAGCAATCTTCATATCAAAACTTTACCTTTCATCGTCAATATTTGATTGGGGTACTTTCAAACTAGACCATGGAGAGGTCAAGCGGTATTAGAGTGCGAGCATTCAAATAGATTCAACGCAATCACAGATTGTTCCCTTCCTCCCCAATCATTATGCCATCATGCCATTGTACAAACATGGTGGTTTTTTATGTGTGTATCATGGGTCTATAGTTCGATTATCCAATAATTGAACTGTAGCCCGCTTTTTAGTTTTTATCTAAGTTTACCACTTATCTTCTCTTTCTTCTCTCTATTCTTTGTGGTAACTTTTTGTATAACTCATAAGTCCACTGATATGTGTAACATTCAACTGCAAGAAGATTAATGTTTGAAAGATATTGAATTGAATTAGAAGTAAATTAAACAACAAAGTTCTTCTAGGTAGGTCTACCATCAAAGTCATTAAGATAACCCTGTATTAAATATCGTTTTTAATTATTTTTTGTAATATAGATTTTTTGTTGCTGGTACATTACATGTATAGCTGCTGATGAAATTTTAAATCAAATGATAATAGTAAGATTAATATTTAACATTGATATCAATGGCTTCAAAACAATTTCATTAAAGGTGATCTTGAGTTTGAGTAATACTGAGAAAAAATTCTTAGCCGATATTCATCGAGAAATGCATTTTTTTTACCAGCTCCATATTCTAATGATTTGGGTCCACCTCTGTGTAATTTCGCTTTCCTAGGTTAACTCAAAATTGAAATATCCCTACTTCTTTGGGATTAGCTGTTTAATGAAAACTCTGTAAGATAGCATACAAAGCCTAATCTATATTCACAAAGTGCTGCACAATTTAAGACAATGTCCTTGAAAGCCTTCCAAAAAAATTGTATTATTTATTTGGGGACTGAATCTGGTTATATCTCGCTGAGTAAATGGGGTAAGACCGGCCAATACCTGCCACCTCGCATGCAACTATTTGTTTAGGTGCACTATGACAAGAAGAATTGGGTACAAGGAGAGAGAAAAGCAGGCAAAAGAAGCAAATAATAGACCAAGAAAAACTTCCTTTCTGGACGCCTGAATAGACGCATTGCTCGAGGCGTGAAATAAAAGGTCGAAAAGCCACACTTTTTACAATGGATTTCAATCCACGAGGCAATGTAAATAGGGAATCGTGAAAGGCTGATATTAGTAAAAATGCCATTTATTATCTTACGGTCTTCTGCTTGAACTTGCAGTGAAAACAGTTGGGACTTTGGGGAAATAAAACCGTTTCTAAACCCACACAAGATGAGGTTCAATTGGGGAGATTTGAACGTTTCCAAACAAGAGACACCCTAAATTCTTCTCTTGTTGTCGTTTGGGCAAGCACGTTGAACAAAGTTCCATGATTTACCTGGTGGGTTGGGCAAAAAGAAGAAGAAAAAAAGAGGAAACCGACAAAACTCCATGATGGCTGCATTAGCAAGTTATGATTTTAAAAGTTCAACAATCTTTTCATAGATTCCAAACATTTGCATAGACCTCTAGGTTCAACTGAAGGTCAGTTCTGTATTTAGGTTAAAAAAACTTTGGCACCATTTCTTGTAATTATCATTTTATGTCATGTGCATGACTGGAACATGAATTTTAGAGACATCTGAACAAAATTAAGGTGTATGTAGAATATGCCAGACCCCCAACCCCCCTCCCCTATTAATTGTTGTTGTTTGTCTTGGTTTTCCTTCTTGTCACAGATTTTGTAGATCATGCCCAAAAATAATTCTTAAAACAACTTTTCATTCTCTTTTTTTTTTCTTTCCGTCTTGCTGCCTACAAATTATAAGCTTCATTTTGCATCACTGTAAAAATGTGTTTAAATCACTATCTTCATCAGTGAAGAGAAGTCACACAAACATTCCTATATAGGCCTTATTATTTTCAAAATTACATTCAAATTGAAGCCATGAGCAATTTTTATTCATTAATATACCAACAACTGTTTTCCTTCAGAACTGAGATTTAAAATTGGAGGAGATAAAAACATGTGTGCCATCGGAGAAGTGGCACTTGCAACATTGTGAGTTTATAAAGTGTCAGTTTTGTTAACTAACATTCCTAGATAAATATGATTATAAGCCACGCATCTTGGTCATCCCAAGCTGTTAAGTCACAGTCAATTAAATTTTCAAATTTATATTCTTCAAGCCTTTGGTATTCTGTTCATGATGTTACATTGAGACCCCTAAGACACCTAAGAGTCAGTGATATACGAGAAGTTTAGAACACTTGTGGCATCTTGCAAATGACACTTGTAATATTACAACCGTAGAAAGACGGATTAATATGAAAGAATTTGGGTGTCATTTTCTTTTTACAGCCCTTGATATAATTTGATTCTGATTCAATTGCATCTCACTTCATAGAACCCTAAATTTTTCAATTACAATCAATTAGATTTTCTGGATAACATACTTGATGCCCTTGGTGTTCTTTTCATTCTACATTGACAACCAACAAAAATGAACCTACAGTAAGAGTAAGTGATACATGACACGATTGGAACATGCATGGCGTCACTTGTAAGATTGCAACTGTGAAAAGGTGGTTTATTGTGTAGGAATTTCAGTCTGAATAAAATGGGACCTGTTGATTGCATTGGGTGTCAGTTTCGTTCACAATTTCTTTTCCATAATGTGGTTACATGCAGGACTCCCATTTCAATATCCTGATTCTCACACATCGGCCATCGAGAGACAGAAGTTTATTCAAAGTTTCAAAAGCATAAAATTTGAGGGGGACTTAAATGTCCTCCAAAACGGCTTTCAGCAAATGATATCCTTTTTAACTAGTTCATGTCACAAATTTTCTGCACACATTTTCCTGCAAAGACATATTAAATGTTCCACTCCCAGGAATTTACAGAATTCAAATCTGACTGAGAGTGAGAAATATTCCCGCTATCTAGTCTTGAATAATAAATGGGAAAATATTCCTACAGAGTAAATGTACATGTTAAAGTTCTTTCAGCTGTAGTGCATAGTCAACTCATCTGCAAATTTAGTTCAGGCCGTTATCAATTGATTAGATCTCGGTCAAATTGAGGCAAATGGACATGAAATATTACTTCTCCAAATAGTTGATTTTACGATCTCTGCTCCCTGCATGCAGTTCTCATCATTACAAGCATGCAACACAAGAGAACAATTGTCCCTGTACTAGGAAAAGACATTCAGTCTGATACTAGCTCTGTTCACACGGATCCATCGTAGTTTAAAATTAAGTTTTTAAACCCAGAAGGTTCACACAGGACAGCAACAATGGGTATTTAAAGTTGTCTATAAGCCACGAAAAAGGTTAATTTTAACTTAAAGCTGACGTAACCTCAAAGTTAAGTGCTTCTGCATGGCACATAACTTCAAGTGTGGACCCCCCCCCCCTGCACCATACATGTACTTGTAGTTATTGCGCTAACATTAATACCTGAGGTAGTTTGCAACTTTGAGTTAAGTTTGTGTGACAAGTAGGTCCACACGATGCCCCTAACTAGATCTTCAAAGTTTAAGACTATGACCTAAACTTAAACTTCTAGTTAGTGGAATGTCATGTGAACCTCATTATTATTTGGTTGGGAATGTTCCCCTTAGCATTACCGGGAGACCTATTATATCTTCTTTTAACGATACTACGATATCTTTAAAAGAGTTTGTGAAAAATAGAATGATTTATTACGAAGTATACTCGACTTGACCTGAGTAAGCACAATAAATTTTCCATCACAATAAGCTTCTACTAAAAATCCAAACGTTGTCATCTTTTTATGAGAGGAAGTAGAATACAATCGCTCTCTGTAGTAGCTGGAAGCTGATTAGAATTGGTATCGCTAGTTGCGTCACTGTTGTGCAGTAGGCCAAGATTTTAAGGGCCTTCATTCATAAGTGCATTAGGTTTGTTAAAGGATATGCCAGAAAAGTCCCAAAGTTGATTTTGAACTTAAAAACATGATTTACACACGTATGCTTAATATTAGTGGCCATAATGGCAAAAGAATATTAACAACAAAAAATCTTTTGTTTATAAAACTAAAGGCAATTTTTTATTTTATTTATGGGAGCACATACAAGTGTTGACTAGTCAACTAATACAGGTGCTTTTATGTTGATTAAATAGTATAGAATAAACTTGCAATATCACTTAATAAAAATAGATTTTGGAGCTCATATCTTGAATATAGTATAGCAATGTGGAACCCCTGGCATACAGAAAAGAATAAAATTGGTGAATGGGAACACTTTAAGTTTAAAATTTGTTATTGCCGCCACGACACAAAACCTTTAAATTATTCTTCTTACTCCAGGCAATACTATTAACACAGATACAATCCTATTACTACATTCTATGAAATTTTGACAGTTAATATATTTATGACAAATATCATCCATTACAAGACTCTCTCAGGCAAACTTCAGTTCTCAATGATGGTCCACTACAAATTCACCTCATTGATTGGAAATCAAGTTCTTTTCACACATATATTAACTTACAAATTGGATTTGGAGCTGACATTTTCTAATGCCATATTTGCAAGCTGCCAAGGGGTGATGAAAAAGGTATTTGAATAACACTTTTGAATGAAAAAACTTATCAACTACAAATTGGGCACTCAAGTCTGACAACGTTTAATGGGTGAGTAGGATTCTACTGTTGCCCTACAACACGGTACACATAGCCTGCCAAATTTGATAGTTACATTTAGAAAAGTGAATTTTTGACGATCAAAACAGTTTTAAGTGGTACCCAAATCATATCTTAAATGAATGAAACAATCAAGTATATTGTTAGAGCAAATGTGGTCTTTGTATACAGGTGGTCACTAAAGCAGGTTTGACTGTACTTACTATTAAAACTTGGCTCGGATTTGTAGCAGTAGGTCTCCCATTAATAATTGACGTGTGTATCTCGCCATTCTCTAGCGGTTCTAACTTGGAGTAGAGCGACGTGCATGAGACCTCATCGTCCCGCGAGAAGCGGTGCATATCCCGCGACGGAACGATGCCGTACTCTTTAACGCACTCGCTCTCTGAAATCGCAAAGTACTGCCAGGGCTTGTACATTTCCCCATCTAAGGAGCGCTCCAGGATCCAGTTCCCCGGCCGCGGTGAATTTGCAGCTTTGACGATCACATAGGCTACTTGGTAGAT